TAGTATAGCGTAATTTTATGAAAACAAAAACTCGGTTAAAGGGTTAAATTAGGAGCTTCGAGAGACCGTGTTCAGCCACTTGGAGTAAGACCGTTCTCAGAGAGGAAAAAAACGCTCACATCTCTCTCCCCTAATTCCTTTTCTCTCATTTCGTGCCCTTAACTGTTGCGAGTCGCGCTCGGTGCTTCTCAAGAGGAAATGGCACTCGAGAGAGAAAAGTGCATTTTCAGAGATGAAACGAGTTTTAACGATCTCTCCTTCCTTTTTCCTCCGCAGACGTTCTCCCGATCCCCAAATTCAAAAACGTCGAAACTGGAAGTCCGACCTTCATCCCTAACGGAGACGCAGCCCCGGGTCCCCAACGGTTCTCCTTGACCCAGCACACGAATTACCATCCCTATAGACGCTAAAAAACGCCGATGTCATCCGAACGGCCGAGAGAAATAAGTTTCATAAGTGCGCGAATGGATAAGAAAGAGAGGAAGAGTGATAGAGAAAGCGAGAGAATGGATGCAAGTAACGCGTACAATTTCCGGCCGGAATCTCCACACGGGTATTTCATATGTCCGTAGTTTTGATTATATATTATCGATTTGTTAATTTTATAGAACGGTGACTTTTTTGAATTCGTGTCCAGCAATCGAGATTAGCGCGCAGTAAGGTTACTGAGTAAGGATTATTAAATTATAGCCTTGGAATAAATGCGCCCGCGCGGTTTATACAGTAAGATTAGCTAAGCCACCGTCTAATGTTAGCTGTACGATTTCATTATTAAGCTAACATTAAATTTTATCACTTAACATTTAGAGTGTAGTAGCTTTTTGTAGTAAGTCTTAAGATATGTCTCGCTTTTTTTATAGATATACATGTGTTATCTTTAATCGTGATAATGTCTCTATAAATGTCTTAAGGAATTAATAGTTAAAAATAATTAAAAAGTATAATATAAGTAATTAAAAAAAAAGGATAAAGACATAAGATATGTAGTATATCCATTTAACGCTTTTCAATTTCAGATATTATAAACTAGGAAATTTACGACTAATGTATCACATAAATATTATTTTAATGTTTTACGAAAGAAAAGTAGAAAAAATTCGACTTGTTATATAATTATTTTTATTATTTTCTATATATGTAATTTAAATTCTTTATTCTGAAATAGATAAATATAATGAGCACACAGCTATCAACTGAATGACTTATCAAATAATATATTTTAATTGCTCGTCTTACATTATTCAATTAATTGCGAAAGTAACATTCTTTGGATTTAATGATCTTAGTTGAGTTATTTTTGTAAATGCGAAGATGTCTTTAATGCAAGTAAAATTGAGTTGGAAAGCGTTAAAAGGATAAGGATCGATAATTCGCCGACGTGGGGTGATGATGCTCCGGTTTTGTGACCCACTATGAACGGATATAAAGAAAGTCGATGCGACCCAGTTGACCCGTTTTTCGGGCGTTCCTTTTTTGCAAATTATAGTCACGAACTCGTCGCGCGACTCGAAACTCGGTCAAAAATCCTACGAGTTAACCGTTGCGATACACGCTCGGACCTCTCGGATCCGGCAAGAGGATGTATATAAAACTACTTTCGAGATTCTAGATCGGTGAGATTAGTTTGTTCTCGAATTTAAATTATTCCTTGCAAAATTCTATCTGCTCCATCCATTCATTTATCCATTCATCCTAGATCGTTTTACGAGATATATATCCTATACATAATACTATTACAATTATTGTTTTTAGTCTGTTTTCCTCTGATTTCACTTCAACTCACCCCGGATGAATACACTTCAGTGACTTTTCAGCCTCCTTTTTGTTTTGTGTTTTTGTTCTTTTTCTTACGTTACCTTTTTTATTTTCCTTTTTTTATGTGATTGTAGAAGAGTAATACTAGAGTATATTCCATTACACACACGCACATATATATATATATATATATATATATATATATATAAATATTTAAATGTTATATATATATATATATATATATATATATATATATATATGTAATATTTAAATATCTATAAATACCAAAAATATATCTCTTATAAAAGGAAATTGTTAATTTTTTTGTTTGCATATTTTTTATTATTTGCTGTATTTTCTTACGTAATTTTGTTTTGAACAATTTCTGACATTAAAAAAAAGTTTATTATGAGTATTGATTCATAGTGTTCAGTCCGGGGCATTCAACTTTTATATAATTATGAAATATAAATATTAAAATAAAGAGTGCAGTCTTTTTCTCATATTTTAATTCTGAAAGAACATATGAAAAATTGAAGATTTATGAATTGAACATATGAAAAGTTGAAGATTTATATCATGGATTCAATTTTAAAAGATTCAATTTATATCGTGGTTCATACTTTTTAGTTGCTTGTTAACTTGTTTCAATTTCACTATGTTCGATCTTTTTAATTTTTTTTAATTTTTTTAAATTTTAAATTTTCTAATTAAAAACGTCTTTATAATATGCTTCATAACAAAACATGAATTTATATGTCAAGTGATAAGTTGTCTCACAAATATCTATTATCTATTTGATCTTAAATTTGTGGAAGCCTTTCAAGGCGATTGTTTCAGAGTTGTTAGAGAGTTGCCCTCTCCATTCTCTTCTCTAAGGTTTTACTTTTCTGCAAATTTTATTCTTCAATTTCAACTCTTTGCAATTCTCTCACATTCGGAATATTATTGTACCTTTTTTTATCTAAACAGCTACAATGATCTCGTAATTAACGATATAATAATCTCGAATTAACATCGAAATGTATCTAATTTCAAATTAATAAAAATAAATTCATTCAAATTAATAAAAATATTTTTTTGAATATATTTATAAAACATTAAATTTTTTATTAATATTTAAATTTATATATCAAATTTATGTTGATGGCTAACATAAATATGCAAAAGGACGCGTAACACACTGTGTGAAAATATATTATTTTATTACAATTTATCAATTTTTAATTATCCATGTATTAATTCGGATTGCAAAGAGTTAAGCTTCCTCCACTTTCCATATTCAGTCATCAGATTTCCCATTGAAGATCAGGCTTTTGAGTTATTGTAAAGTAACACGCGCCACTTCTGTACCACCTACTCCGGTTACGTCCTCTCGCCACGTCCTGGCACGTAGTACTATGTTCTTTTGTGCGATTCTACACAGGATACGGATCTTCAAGCGTTCCTGCTGCACCAGGAACAACGGACAACTACAGCGGTGGCCCCCAAAGGGGTTACACAGGATCCTCGTCCAGCACCAACAATTATCATCCTTATCGTCGCTAGGAGGAATAAGAACAAAATCAACAAATTAGGCTGCAGCACGAGATCTCTCACCTCTTTTTGTTAGTTATATACATATACATTTGTATATAACTGACTATACTTATTACAATAAATAGTTTAATACTAATAATAGAACGCGTTTAATCTTTTTTCCATAAATCTTTCAATGCACTCAAATCTGTGTTGGAGGATTCGTGGAAAACAAATCGACATTATTCGTGACACAAGTGCGAAATACGTACAAACGAACAAGATGCGACGTTATTTAAATTTATTCGACTCTGATAAAATAGTACATAATAGAGAAAAATTGCGAAACTTGCGATATGCTAACGAAAAATAGATGGAGAAAATTGAACATCAGCAAAGTTGTTCCATCTATTTTCCGTTTGATGTTTATTATTGACAGAATATAAAAAGAAATTGCATTGAATTTGCATTGAGTAGATTTAAGATTTAAATATGATATTTCATTGATTAGTGCGACTCACGGGGATATACATTATGATTCTTTACATCGGGCATTAATGAAGTTGAAATCATCTTTTTACTAGACTCATACATCACGTAAAATTCATCATCTTAATTCTTATTAAAATCTCAATAATAATTATCTCAATAATAATCTCAACAATAATCTTAATCTATATAATTTTTCAAATAAAATTTGGATACTACTTAAATGTATATGATTTTTTAAATAAAATTTGAATACTATTATACTTCTACTGATACTAATTTTTAATTCCTAATAATATCTAATTCTGGTTTCATTATATACATTATATAGTAATCAAAGATTAAATATAAAATAATACATTTCTTTTTCTAATAAAATTTGGAAAATTATTATATAATGTACATATTACATATATTTATACATATAAATAAATTTATAGATATACTATATGTATTATTATAAATAATAACGATAACTTTTTTACAAAAAGTTTAAATTTTTCAAACAATATTTAAATTTAGACCTTTGTGTATCTAAATGCTTCGTGAGAAATTATCAATGATTTGTCATTAATGAATAATTCATAAATGATGTAAATTATATAAAAAGATTATAGCGTTTACAATCTATCGATTATTTTTCTTCACTTCAAAACGCGCGTACGTTTTTCTGCATATTCGAATTGAAACTGAATAACTGATAATATTCATCAGCTAGAAATTTGATTTCTGTGGATGCAAACAAAGCAATCTAAACAATAGTTTTGCATGCACGTTGATGTTAATGCATGATCGCGAATGCGATCAAAATTGCATGTACATACATAAGTTAGCGCTATGTCGTGGGCAGAAATGTCGATTAGCATAAGGAATAATGAGTTAATTTATTCTTAGTTAAAACCTATTGCATATAGCAATAAGGAATCAACCAATTGGACAGAGGACAAATTTCATTGGCAGCCATGTTACAAAAAAGGCACGACACACAGAAATATTTTTTTATTTATAATTCGAATATTGTATAATTCAAGAATTTCAGTTTGATTTAGTTTTATTTAACGACATTAATTGTAATCCTTTTACTTTCGTTTGATTAGCACGAGATCAAATTATTATTTTCGCCTTTCGTGTTTTCTCGTTTCTTGTCGATTACAACTGTCGCGTGCGCGACGACATTAATATAGAAGACGACATTAGTATAGAACCTAATATTTTTTTTTTTTCAATTTCTGTCGTAGGAAGTTTATTTCCTAGACGTCCTGTTCATTTTACTGACTGGATGACGCGAGCCTTGTGGACTTGAGGTAAAAAAAATTTAAAGACGCGTTTAACACAGAGCAAAGAGATTTGCCCCGATTTCGATATTTTTTTCTTTCCTTCTCTTGTGATTCGACTCTATTCGGTTTTAAAATCTCGGCATCCGATATAAAGTATTTAGATTCTTTATTACAGATAAAATTACATTTATGTGAGAAAAAAATTAATATATTATTAACGAGAATGCAGTAATGCATTGATTGACGCAATATAATAGAATTATTTATTTATTTATTTATCATTTTCAAAAAGAGAGATGTTGAAACGTGCATGTAGAAATATGAAAAAGGAATGAATCTTTGCATTTTAATTTGAAATCTCATTTTAAGCTTGTCGAGCCGAGAGAAATAATCAGAAATAACTTTTCATACAAAGTGAGTAAAAGATTATAATTATTTTTCAATGCAAAAATGTATTCGGATTTGCGTTTGTTAATCATTCATTATCATTTTGAAAAAAGAGTCGTGACAAAAATAAAGCGAACGTGGGCAGTCTTGTAAAAAGATAGATAAGATTAAAACGCCAAACGTATTTAATAAAATTGCGATAGCGGTAAGGGATAAATATAGTTAGACATGAAGATATATATATTTATATGCATATACGGCTATCTTATGTTAAAATGGGAAATGTAAATCCCCGTATATATGTTACAGATACATCTAAGATGCACATTGATTTATACTTCTAAATGTATTTTTGTGAATTTTTCGTATTTTTTTCAAGAAATTCTGAGAAGAGAAAATTATAACAACGAAAGAAGCACGGATCAATGCGTACAGTCGTGTAATATTTGTAATAATGATAATATAATATTGATTAAGCTTAAGGTTAAGGAATTATATTATATGGAGTTATCCGGCGTGGTACGATTGCTGTTGATGGCACCAATCTCCATTTTTACTATCTTCTCTCGCCGCTGATGCTGTATCGTTGTCCAAAATATTTTGTTACATACTGCGAATCAAGAAGCCAGCGATAAATGCATTCTTTTATAGCATAGAGATAATTAATATTCCGTACGGATTAATAAACGTTCACATTTTTAATAGAAACATTTCGAAAGCGGAGTTGATTGTTCACGAATTATCTATTTTATTCTTTTTGATCCTTTTTCCTTTCGATTCCAATTTTCTATTCATAATTTTGGGAATGAAATATATTTGTTTTTTTTTGTTTAAAAAAAAAGAAAAAATGTCAAATTATTTAACTTATAATAAGTGATTTAGAGTCATAAAAATTAAATTATTTAATTTATTAATTAAATTATTTAAGTCATATTTTACAGATTTAAGTTGTTTTAAATAATGTTTGCAATAATAATTAATACAATGATACACAGAATACAATGATTTATTACATCGAGATAAGATATGTACATTGTTGTAAAATCGTACTTTCAGAAAGCAGCTTCGGAAGTCCATAATTTTTTAATCAAGCGGTAAGTATTTGTCTATCTATGTTATATACATTCTCTTTTTATCGCTATTCTTATCCATTATGACTATTCTTTGTTAATAATTTGTTATAAGTTTGTTAAAAAAATCAAATATAGATATAAATACAGGCAACTCTTTTGTACTTAATATTCTCGTTCTATTTTGTTTTATTTTTTAATGATATGATTTTTAACATTCTAAAATTATATAAGTTAAATATAGTAAAGAAAGAAAAATTTGTCTCTTTCTCTTCAATTCATTATTATGTATTCGATTTTACAATAGAAAAAAATATATAATTTTTAATTTACTAAATATTACCACACATAATGAAGTTAAACATGTAATATTATTGCCCGTAATTAATTAAATATAGATTTGTAAATTTCAGATATGTAGATTGTCTCTCTCGAGAAATGTGCGTGCAATAGTCGCTATCGAAGTTATTTAAATACTCTGTCGAAATCTAGCACTCTAGCAACTTTTTATCACATCAAAAGCCCTGCAAAATTTATTATCATACTTATTCTATGCGTTATGTCTATTCCGAAGAGTTCCTACATTCGATTGTTACTTTGATTTTACAATTGTACCGTTTTTTCGATGGCTTTTGTATACTAATTATAATTTTGTTGCTACAAATTACGGAAGCATACTGCGTTCCTCTATAAGAGAATCGCGGAAATAAACGGAATTATAATAATTGCATTTAAATTAGGATTAGCTTAGGACGGCTTGGTTCCATACGTATATAGTTGTCCCAGTATCTCGCGTATGTTTTAATATTCTTTTTCACATATAATTTATATATAGTACGCGTTTGAAATATCTTGTTCACTATTATATTCCTCACTGTTATATATATATATATATATATATATATATATATATATATATATACTGCATTGTCACATATGTGTGTGTGTGTGTGTGTGTGTGAATGATATTTAATCCGACAGAATAATTCAGAGAAGTACAATATGCTTTTTGCAGAATGATTTATTCTAGTCAAGCTTTATCTTCAGTCAGTTTTTCATGCAAGATAAATTACGCAATCTAGCTGATTTAAAAAAATTTATGAAAAAATAATTTGTTTTATACATGAAAATTTGTTTCTATTTTCGCAGATTTTTGTTTCGTATGTGTAACTTTCTGCTAAAGTATTGACAGATTAATTTCATTCACCATAATGATTGCATTTTTTTGTTGAATGTGTATCATTCGATTTTAAATTTTGACTTGAGAACTTGACGCATAAACTTTATCGAGTGATTATATATTCTAATACAACATATAAGAAAATTCTGATTGTTTGAAACTGATAATGATTATACCTGCGTCATAAATTAATTATAATATTATTAGTACAAAAGATATTATTTATATTATCGTAGTAGTATAATTTTGTCTTTGTCATAATCGTTATATTCGCCAATTTCAAATTTCCAATAGCAATAGTTCTTACAACAAGTTATACAAGTTACAACATTCGTTATATTTTTATGTATGTGCAGAATTTACGTGAGATTGAGCTTGGCACTTGTAGATTCATGCGATAGAACATTTATGACATCGCTGCCCTTTCGATTTTGCCTTGCTGTCGTTTCCTTGTTCTATTTGCTTACGAACGGAATCTGAAATAAATGAGAGAAAACAACTTTCTTTGCAAAAAATCTCATTCAATCTTAGAAATTTATCATTCTGTGCAATAACAATAAAAGAAGAATTACCAGCAATTGTTTTTTTATCCACCGCTGACAAAGCATCGCAGAGCTCTTTTACTAATTGTACGTCAGGATTTAATCCGGAAGCCCAAATAATTAGCATTCGAAATCCGTGCTCTTTGTAACTCGAAGAACCTACAATTGGAGCTTTATCGACCTTTTTATAAAACTGCTCTAGACACTATAGAAGAACATCGAGGCACAAAACACAATGTAAATCGAAATTAGTTGTATGATAATCATATGTTATGTGTCATAATTCTATATGTGTGTTTATTATTTTTTAAATTAATATTTTGCGATTTTTATTTTTGCACCTTGATGTGGAAAGACCTATATCTCTACATAATTTTTAAGGCAAATGTTGAGAAAATTAAATCGATGTTTATTTTAGAATGGATTTGTAACAAAGAAATCTAACGAATCTATCTACGAAACTGATGCTGATTTACCTGTATATTGATGCTCGATAGCTTTGATTTGTTCAGGAGTGAAAGCCCAATGAAGAGCTAATTTTTTCCAATCGCCAGGTGCTAATTGTTTGTAGGCCAATTTCCAGAGAATGGATCGAACTTGTTCGGATAAACGACCATTGTTGCTAGAGATGCTGCCACCTCGTGACCCTTCTCTCCATCGCCTTCGTGCTGGGGTTAACTCTCGGACCTCTTTGTCCGAATTTGATATTTCCTAACATTCATAATAAATTTATAATTATTTTTATTTTACTACAATTTAACATTATAATTGTAGAATATATTCAATATGAATCGAATTTTTGGAATATAATATTTGCAACAATATAAAATTTTTCGTATACAAATTCAATAAGCAATGTGTCACTGGACAAATTTATTGGAATTTCCTCAAGAAATATTATTGAAATAATACATCTTACACTTATTACTGAAATTTCAAGATTAATCGTAAAAATAGAAATTTTAAATATTAAGTTAAATCGAGCCTTACATCTCAAAGACGATATGTGTCAAATGCAAAATAAGGAAAAAGAAATTTGACGTTAAACGAAAATTCTTGTCGGCGTACCTACCGGAGTCGGATAATCCAATCTCGCGGTTTTAATGATCATGTCGACAATTGCCGTAAAACTGCCCCTCGCCGCAATATAAAGTGGTGTCCGACCGCTCTGCAAATGTCAAGATAAACTTTGCTTTAACTTTATTATCGAGTTTACAATAGCTATCAATCCGACCCCTATCCTGTTAACTTCAATAAGATTAAGGTAAAACGTTTGATTCGAAGTTTTTCTGCAAATAGGATGAATCAATTTCCTGTAGTATATGTCACATTTCGTTGATAAAATTGACATATCGTGTCGTGTAAGATAAAGCTTTCGCCAAATAAATTAAGATTATAATTAAGATTGTATAAATGGGATGTGTATGCTACAAACGTATTATTATTAGAACTGCCCACATACGTACTGCCCACATACATATTTAGATAATATGTTTTATAATACTTTTATGTGTGTGTGAGAAAAAGAAATCTCATGTCCACTTCATTTTCACTTAGGGAATACTAAAAGACAACTAGTAGACAAGTAGACAAGTTCTTATTATTTATTTATTTTTTATTATTAAAAGGCAACTAATAGACTAGTAGACAAGTTCTTATTATTTATTCATTTTTTATGTGTGTCATATATAAGTACTTTTTTAAATTTTACTAATTCATGACCGTAATAATATTATGTGATCGATATCGTTTTATATTCATTTATATAAAATAATAATAATTTGTAATATTACTATTTTGATTGAATTTAATTTGGAATAATGTCGGAGATTAATATCACAAAAAGTATTATAAATTATCAAAGAATATATACATAATAATATATAAGTATTAATTATTAATTTTGTTGTTTTTTTTTCATAATGTTAATTTATCAATATTTGATCATTACACTCTGTGATTTATACAAATATTTAGTTATATCTTTTTAATCAGCTTATTGACACTCCTGGAATTCTCTTTTATATTTTATAAATTATGATTTTATTTTTTAAATGGATTCTCAATAATTAATTTATGAGCAAAATTTAATTGCTTATAATAGCGACTGATACGTGTTTAGTTATAATTCGAACATATTGTGAATTTTAAATTTGTATTGCAAGTGTTTAATGGCGGACTTGTTTAATATTGAAATATTAATGTCTGTAAATGATTAATCAAGCGTTGATAATGTTTGGAATATAAACGAATTGAGTTAATTGTAAAAGGATAATATCCGATTCCATTTTTAAACCATTTTTAAATTTCTACAGTATTTACCTGTTCTTTTTGTTCAATATTCGCACCCGCTGCAAGAAGTAATTCACAAATATCCGTATGTCCCATCTCGGCTGCAATATGTATCGGTGATTGAAGTCTCTAAAATAAATCAATATAGAAAACGAAGAAGTTAATAATTCTATTATAAATTTTTTGATATTTCTTGCAGATGATAGAAAAAAATCTTTGGTAATATAAGTATATATTATAAAAAAATTAATAAAAATTAATAAAAATAAATAAAAATAAGTTTTATTTGAAAATTGACGTGTGTAGTATCATTTAAAGATATAAAATTTAAACAGTTTTATTTTTTATTGCATTGAGACTATAATAAATATAATATAAATATAATATTATTAAGAGTCAACTTCTTGTAAATGTATAAAAATAAAATAGACTTTACATACCAGATTTAGACAATTGAGATCGACACCTTTGTTAATTAATATTTCTATCGTTTCTACTTCGTTGTTTTGACAGGCCAGATGCAAAGATGTGTTACCATTCTGCAATTGAAAAATATAATATAATTGAAAAAAGTAAATTTATTACATTTATTTGATCTATTTGATCTATTTTGTTCAGAAAATCTTTTTGCATATTTATTTTTTTATTCGACATTTAAATTTGATTCGTTGCATCATGCTCGCATGACTATTAAATATCAACGTATTTCTATCCACAAATAAAGCATCGACAAAATATTGAAAGTTATGCTTATGCATGCAGCAGTTGGCACGGATTATATCTGTACCTTGCACTGCTTGTTAAGATCAGCTCCATGCTGAATCATGGAGTTGAGTATTCCTTTGCATCCTTGACTCGCGGCAACGTGAAGAGGAGTGAAGCCCTCCTGAAAATATAAAGCGATAGAAAGCGAGAAAAAGTTGATACAAATTAATCAGACATGATACAATTGCGTTTGTCATTAAAAATCCCATTTTCTATGAATTATATGGATCAACTCAATTTTATATAAATAAAAAACTTTCGCTGACAATAAATAAAAATTCAAATATTTGACGATAAATATTGTTTTTGTGTATCAATTTATTATTGAAATTTAATTTATATAAATATGATATTTTATTTTGTTATTTGTCTTATTTTATTTTACGTCTTATCTTGTTCACCCAATTATATCTTTTTCCATTTGTTAAATGGACGTAGTGTGTTGCTCGATTATTCAATTTACCGCGTCGGTTAGCTCGGTATTCGCCCCAGCTTTTAATAATAATTGCGCTATCCCGGTGTGCCTCGTTCTGGTGGCTACGTGAAGTGGGGTATTCCCATCATTATCTTGGGCATCTACGTTCACGCCTAATCCTATAAGGACTTCGACCGCTTCCAAGTGCTCTTCAGCACAGGCATAATGCATCGGGGTTTGTCCTTTCTGAAAATAAATCCAAATTTATTGCAAGAGATTCGATGAATTTTTCGATGAACTTTAAAAGCACGATATATTTTTATGCTTTTATGCTAAAAAATATATCATTATCTTTCTATATTTATACATATAGGTCACTTTCGTGTTCTAGCAGTGACATATATCAGCTTTTTAGAATTAAGTAAAAAATGTTTTCTAAAAATAAAAATTGCATAGAACTTTAATTTGAATACCTATATAATATTTGTGTTGAAAGTATAATATTTCTATACATTTTTTATGTTTTACATTGGGTGACAAATCCAGTTATTCTAGTTCCTCTTGTTACAGTGTTGCAGAATATTTATTTACCGAAAATAAAAGCTACGTAAAATTTAAATAAATAATACTTTTTGTGAGAATATCACACATATAGATAACCTTATATTCGTTATTATAATTTTATATTAATTATTATAGTTTTATATTAATATATGTATCATTTAACTATTTTTTAATTTAATGAAATTGGTTTTTAAAAATTACTATAAATTATAAAAAACTTATTTAATAAATTACAAAATCCTGAAAGCTTTTTATCATCAACTGTATTATTCTATTAATATATATTACAAAAATTAATAATGTGATGTGTTATTTTTATGAATATATATATATTATTCTGAAATATATATATATATATATATATATATATATATATGTGCATATATCACACATTATTTTAATAAACTGTATGATTTTCCCGATATCAAGTAATATTTTCAGAGACAGAAGGAATTGATTGCTCAATAATGGTTATTTGATACGGCAGGCCATGCGGAACGTAAAGATGGGAATGGACATATCTGAATGAGATTAAAATTCCGTGCACGTCTATGAAGAAAATCAAGAAGGATGCACGAAAGTAAATTGAATAAAAAGGAAAAAATATCCGATGAAAAGAGATATGGCGAGATTAGAGTTTGTTTACAAAGGCTCTTCTGTAAAATGTGCGTGCTCGAGTTCGCGGTCGGTCGAGTTTCTCAATAGTGGGGATTCCTTCCTTGAGGGGATTTGTCCTTTCGATAGGAAGAGGAAGCATGTACATGTTACAGCAGCCATCGGAGACACATACAGAGAGAGGAAGAGAGAAAGGGTGAGACCCACTTTCCAGGATCTAAATTGAGAGAGAAAAGATGCCCTCTGACCTACCTATCCCCTACCTACCTACTTACCCACCTGAGAGCATGTATACGATTGCACATGCGGAAATCCGAGCGGTTCCTCTTACTACCTTTAAACACACACGGATAGTGTGTGCAGATATGATGGGAGAAAGAGAGAGACACGATCGATTATTCCTGTCGATAAATTATAAATTCTCCCTTTTGCATCCTTATCCATCCCGCGCGATCGATACTGCGCTGCTTCCTAGCCATGGTATTCATTATTCGTCGACGATTGTTGATGCGTTTTCGCTGTTTCGCATTATTGTGTAGTATACGATATGCGATAGTTTCACGTGAAATGCAAATGTTGTGATAGAAATTTAATATCGCGATACAATCCATCAAAGATTTCATCATAGAGGAATGTATCCCTAATTTTAATAAGTTACAATATTAACATCAGGAATTAATATTTCGCAAATCTAGAAATATACTTAGGTATATTGTTTTTTTTCAAAATGTATGAAAATTGCATTCCTATAAAATTCGAATTTCAAAAGGTTTTTTTTCTCGTTCTTGTTTCAATTTTGGGCTCTTTCTATCTATGATACAATGACAAGTAAAAAATTTGATTTTATTAATTTTGGAGCAAGATATTTATATAAATACGATAAAGAGAGTGTCATTTTTACTAAGACATAATCTAATTTCCGATTATTTATGTTACATTTTGTTTTTATATAGTAGCATATTTATGTGTTAGTTATTTTTTCCGTGAATATGTAGCTTATTAATTTTGCACGAATTTTTTTTATTCTCTTAAATAGAATCAGTGTATTATCATTTAGAAGTATTGATTTTTTTTTAGTTAAGATTATAAATAATTTGAAATCGGTTAGTGATAGTAACTAATTCTTCAATGAAATCTTACTATCATAATCAAAGACAGAGGAGTAATGTGTAAATATTCTAAGATCAATGGAATATTGACTTTCTGTAAAATGTCACTGCCTTAATTATTACTACTACATTTTTATAGATTCAATATAAAAGAATAGATAAATCTTTACAATATCTTTACAATATCTTTAAACTATTTGTGTTTACTTGTGTTTACAGTATACATCTAAATTAAACATCGTAACATCTAAATTAAATATAAAAATCAAATATTTTGATATAATTTTTTAAAATCTTGCTTTTTGAAAACTTTTATTACGAAATATATATTTATTGGGATGAAGCGAAAAACTTGGGATTAAGTACATTTTCTAAGAGGGTTTGTAGGGATCTTGATGTATCTTGTATATATATATATATTGTATCGAGAAAGCTTGATATATTCCAGAGAATCTCACGTCAAAATTGATCTTGGATTATGGACGGATTCTTATCATCTTTACGATGTATGTGAATAAGAGAACCGCATCGAGATAGGAGAGAGCAGAAAAAGAGAGAAAGAATGAGAGAGAGAGAAAAATTTATCGGGAAATTGTCAAGTGATGACTGATTTTACATAAGAAAATATTAAAAAATTCACTTTCAGGTATGATTCTTATTAAATATCGAGGGTAATGAATTTCTATTTGCATAAATGACGCAACTAATTTTCTAATTAAACTTTACTTATTTATAATTGAATGCTGCCTTAAGTATTAATTGATTGTAATTCCCGTGAAATTAGACAAATGCATTATATTTTTTCCTGTTTGAAACATGAATGTATTCATAATCACACTAAAAGCATCATGAGACTTTGCAGTGGTATATTCCAAAATATTGTTGTAAAAAAATATTATTGTTTAACTTCCGTTTAAGAAATGAGATATAAAATTATGCATAATTTTAAAATAATGTTGGTATGCAAATATTTTCTAGGAGATAATTAATTAATAATTTATAAAAGCTAATTTTTTTTGTGCACAATTATGCGCAATCGCCTGAATAAATTTGCCGTGAAATTTACGCGGAAGTGGTCGGTTTTTAATTACCGATATCGTTATGAGATATAATGGAACTTCTGTGAATGGAGTTTGGGCAACTAAGATGCTAATGGATGAAAGGACGGATTTAGAGAGAAATGCGAGAATCACATATTCAAATATGGAATATCATATTGCAACGTCAAATCGAGACCAAAGCACGCCTGTATTGTGAGAGAGTATATTAGTGTATGTATTTTGGAATGCATGCAATGTATATACATTAATATGTAATCCAATAGAGATAATATGAGCATTTGTTATGTACTACTTATTCATTCTAATAACTTGTATAAATTATAACAAATAAACGAATTATCGGAAGTACTTTTAGTGATTACGCGATTAAATATAATTTCAATGAGTAGGTATGATAAAATAAACACGATGCACACAAAATTATGAAGATTTTCGACATATTTTATCGACAATAGAGAGAATTATATTCTACATATAATAATATAGAAATAATTATCGTGATTTTTTCAATTCCTTCGACATAAATCTGCATTTTCTCTGTGGATGTACGTATTTTCTAATTTTACATCTTTATGTAGCAATTAAATTTTTGAAAACTTCTTATCTCAGTCGCAGAAACTGAGATGATTGAGTTCTTTCATTTACAACGTTCGAGAAAGAAAATAAAGTAATATTTAGAGATAAAATAAAATTTATTAAATTTGTATATATATATTGTATATAAAGTAAAATTTGTTTTAAATTTATAATAATATAATGATCGATGATTTAATATAATTTACAAACATATATATTCTAATTTTTTATTTAAATTAATAATCTTGACAAATTAAAAATCTCTTGATTTTATCGCAAAGTTCGAAATAAAAAACATATTTAAATTAAAGAATATTTGCGCATACCTTATCTGTGGCGTCGAGTACAATCCGTGGGATATTAGCAAGCGCTGTTATTACTGCAGGATGTCCGGAAATGGCTGCATGGTGAAGTGCAGTTGCACCAGTCGAATCGACGGCCTCACCGTTTAACGATTCCACGGCTTCCGCGAGATACTCCACCACGTTTACGTTGCTGCCGCGAGCACCGCACATTAAGAGGGTGTATTGTTTCTAACCAGAAAGAGATCTTTTGTTTATACTCTCACTGTGAAAAGATGTTCTCATGAAAGTAAGTTCGCGGCTTTTAGCGCGCGTAATATTTCTCTCACGTAATTTTAATTAATAAAATATTGTATTACTTTATTATGTCACTTTCTCGCCTCGCGTGCACGAAAAAGGTTCTTTTATCATTCACGTGCCTTAGTTTTCTATTTCGTTAAAGATTCGATATGCCCAAGCATCGGAGGGAAGGTGCCATTATTTAGGGTCGATATTAATATCAATATTGACACAATATTGATTTCAATTTTGTCGTGGTTTCCCGATGACATATTTACTCTTTTCCTAGCCTTTGCGAGAGATTTCAGTTTCAATGTTTTCTTTCTATTATATCCGTGATCAATAAACTTTAATTAAACGCACGATTCAATCCCATGCAACATGTTCCGCAAATTTCCGTTGAACAAAAAATTTCTTTCTTAAATAAAATTTTTCTCACGTGATAGTTTGGCATTACAAACATTCTATGCAAATTTTGTTTAATAGATTTCGTGACATTTATAGATGTCACTTCTTCAAGGCATAAAAATTTTCTTTGATAAGATATTTAATTAAATTTATTGTTAAAAGATAAGTTAGATTGTTAAAAGATAATTAGTGTACCTTATTAACCGCGGATACGTTTGCTCCAGCATTGATCAACATCTTCACCGCATCTCGATGCCCGTGCTGAGCAGCCATATGTAAAGGGCGCATTCCATACTTGAAAGAGAAATGAATGGCTCGGAAATTAATGTTCGATAAGGAATTTCATCAAGTCAGCAGTTGTCTAGATTAAATTCCGAAAGAAGTATTGCCTCAAAAATATGTAAATGAAGTATTCATTTATCAATCACTATTTTTACATTAGTTTCTATTTATCGAAATTATGCTAAAATTTTAGAAAATCCATCTCTATATTTAAAATTAAAAATTTTCTATATTTTCTATATTTTTTTACGAGAAAATGTTACGTTCATGATTTCCTCCCTGTTAAGTTTAGTTTGTAATCATTTAACGAGTAGTTGCAATTAAAAAAATATATCATACCTTGTCTCTCGCTTCGATATCGCATTTGGCTTGCATTAGCATTTCAATAATTTCCGTATTTCCTCTAGATGCTGCCCAATGAATCGGAGCGCGACCATACTAAAAAGATGATTTTATAAATGGTTTAAAAAGTGCTTATTACTTTTAATATAATCCTTACTTTATTACTTTTAATAAAATCCTTAATTAATTTTTTTATTGAAATAAAACATCTATCAAATAAGATGTTAAAAAGTAACATATTTATTTTTATCTTTGAGATATTTTTCGTAACTTACTTACTTATTAACTTACTTACATTATTTCTGGAATCTACGTCAACAGTCTCCTTAAGTACTTTACGAACGGTGTCCGCTTCGTTTTTTATCACAGCCTCGTGTAGAAGAAGGTCATTCTTAAGGACTGATAGAAAGAAAAGTAATTCGTATTTACAATTAGTAATAAAATGTATTCAATACTCTTTCTTCATTTTTTAAACAATTGTTTAAAAAGTTGTTTATTTTACGAGATTATTAAATTATTGTTTTACATAAAAGTATATATTACTAAATGTTTTACCTTTAATCTTTGTTAAAATGTAACAAGCCACGTAAACGTATATATTACAAAATGTTTTTACTTTTAATCTTTGTTAAAATGTTACAAGTCACTTTTATATCATAGAATGAATATATACGAATAGATTTTTTCAATTTTTCTTTTATACTTCAAAAATATACAAGTTTATATGACATTTTTTAATTGTAACATGAGTACATAGATTAGTTTCTCAGTTATTTTATTTTCGTGAAATTATTGAAGTAGAATTTTAAACGAAAAGCGTGAAAAAGTATAGATTTAATTAATTCGTTACAGACTTTTCATTTTAACTTCTGACAATCACATCGTAGCGCACGCGTTGCTGTCGTTACCACTGCACATCGTTTTTTATAATTTCGAGTTGCACAGATATCGATCGCATGGAGAATCGAGGTAGAAAGAAGAAAGTAAAGTTGGAACGAAACATGAAAATATAGCGTGTGGTTAATTAATTGACTTGGCAAACGTTCAGTATAAATTGAATATTTTTTCACATATTACCTGCGTGTTGATAGTGACTGCAGAACGCAAAAGTGTTTTGTAAGAAAAATGTATAAACACACACATGCAAAAATTTTAATTACATAACTGTGCATAATTTATTTGTTTTGTTTCACCTATATAAAGATAGTAAGCATTGTGAAAAATTTACGGTTGTTACATACACATGCATGCAGGTAGTTGTTTTAAATTATTTTTATTTTGTTTATATATTACGTAAAATAAAGGAGAGTAATTAAATTTTTGTGCAATTTTCGTACTGCTATTGTTTTTATAAACAATTTTTATTAAAAGAGAGAGAAAGAGAGAGAGAGGAGAGAGATTGACGGTGTGTAATAAATAATCAAAAATTATTAAGTAAAAAAAAGATTCGTTTGATTTGGAGAAGAGAGAGAGAAAGATTGGTAGTTGTGATAAATGGAATATAGATATATGAGTTAAAAAGAATTCATTCAAAATTCAACCAAATATGTGAGTGATTTTTCCAGGAGTTTTACTATAATATAAATCTTATAAAAGAGCTGTATGTTTTTCGCTTTTGTCTCTCTTTCCCTCTGCATTCCTTATACATTCACATTTCATTTGAGATTACCGAGACAGCCTTAAATCTTTTTATGCTTCGTAGCACATTCTGTATAGGGAGGATTTATACTTTACTCACTTCTAGCAGTCTTTTGGTTCAGTACTTCGTCCTCGATCGCCTCGTTGAGATTCAATGGTGGTGGTGGGGCCTTAGCCTTCGTTATACTCAACTCTTCCACCATCTTTCACTGCCGTTGTTCTGAACCTAGCATTGTCATCGGCGTCGTGGTTTCCCGTCGTTGTACGATGCTAATGCATCTCGGATTGCAGCTTAATTGCTAATTATCGACGACCTAGAAAGCCAAATGTTATCGAGATATTTAATTATAAAAGTCGCAGTTGGAAATACAAGAGAAATCTAAAGAGGTTTGATTGAATGTAATTAGCAACGCACTTATGATAAAAAAAGAAATTAATCAATATTTATGTATTCGAATTATATAAATTTAGAATTTGAATCGAGAGAGAAAAATAACATTTTATATGGAAGGATATTTTCAAGTTAGAATTTTTAAAACAAAAAAAATTTAGTAGCTCTTGTTTTTCTGAAGTAGTCTGATACATAAATTACAATACGAAGACAGCATATTTATCGTTAGTTTATATTAATATTGCAAGAATTAATTTGTCTTTTCTAATAATTATCAAAAATATGCTGCACTTGTTATACTAAAATTGGAATTTCATTGAAATACAATCTATTAAAATTGGCATATATTTTTTGCAATTACAGTTCTGCTTACAGTTCTACTATAATCGATGAAATACATAAATAAAATACAAATGAATTAATCAGAATTATTTTTCTAGCTCTACATTTTAATTTGTCTTATTTTAAATTATTCTCTTTATCACAATAAAGTCTGTTAATTATTATAATTTGTGAGGTATACTATATGATTGAAATGAATAATATATATTTCACAATACTTTAATTAGTAGAATATAATAACATTTATTCGATTAATTGAATATAATTAATTCATCTACAGACTTTGATTTTCGAAACAATATCAGAAACGATATCAGATATATCATAATTTGATATCAAATATTTTTTTAAATATTTTTAATTAGTTTTCATTGTAATTATAATATATTTTTGAATATGTTTAAAGATACATTTACATTTTACAGATATTTAAATAATATAATTTGTGTTATGTCCGCGATTATGCAATATTTTGAAATTAAAATATACATTAACGGCATATTTGTATTTTTACAATGTTATAGCTGATCAGCAGCTATATGTTTATTTCATTATTTTGGGCTATCTTTTTTAAATTTCAATTTCCATCGCTTACGTCAATTCAGGAATAAATTACAAATGAACTTTACAATTCACATGTGTTTAAATGCAATTATGGTATATTTAACTCGTTGTTAACTTTTCTAGAGTTTATTATACAATAGAATCTATATCTTGGTAAATGCACCAAATAAAATATATGCATATGCCTTGTGCACGTTCTAATTTTCGCGAATAATTAATCTTTAATAAAATTTTACGCACTACCATCCGCGGTGGCTCTTAATCGCTCTTTTCTCGTGTATCGTGTTGTTTAATACATAACAGAGCCTAATTCTTTATCAATTTATTAATTTGTTTTATTATACAATAGAGTTTGCTTATTTTGTGCAAATATACGTACAGGTGACATCGCAGTCGTAGATAAATCTAAATTTCCCACGTTACTCAGTCGCCCTGTAATAAGAAAAACTTTGATCAATCTCTTTCTCTCGTAAAACATCTCCGGTTCGCTTAACTTTTATCTTTCGGCTTATTCTTTTGACATTTCTAACCGTGCTCCATTTTCAGGATAAATACAGACGTTTGAATCAAAGGCGTTAGCTTTACTAAAGCGCTGGTTTCATTAGTTCTGCATACATCGAATGTGCTTTCAAGTTGATGTCACAGCTATAGTCATTTCAAAAATACTTAATAGATGAGCCAATATTATACATTAGACTATGATATTAACCAACTTATGATATAAATCAAAAATTTAAAAAACAAATATTTTCTATTCTCTCTAAAATCGCACAATTTTTCTATGCAATATAGTTTCTATATATAGCAGTTTCTATATATAGCTTTTCGAAGAAAAATAATAAAAATTGTAAATTGCAGAATTTTATTTTACATTATAATATAAATTTCTTGTATTATAACTGGAATCACGAATTTTCAATTGAAAATATAGATATTTTATGTGAAACTGATCTTGCTTGAATATAAAGTAAGATATTAAATTTATTTCGTTGATTGAGTTACTAATTTCTGATTTTCATCATTTGTGGTACTCGCGGTAACATTTCAAAGATCTAACAATATCCTGCAGCTGAGTCAGATACTAACTGTGGAATCGCGACTGTGGAAACTCCAATAATTACACTTAAACGAGAATGGAAATTGTATCAAATGTCTTGATGTTTGTCAGATGTAAAGATTACAGGCTATCGTAAAGATTACAGGCTGTTAATAAGAAATTATTTATCACCTTTAACTGTATATGATCGATATCTTTTAAATTTTATTTTGAAAGTGAGCGTGGCAATACATAATGCATAACGGTTAAAGGAGTTATACGTGTTTACAATTGTGGGTTGTGCACAGAATATATATTTGTCGATAGATATTGAACGAAAAAAATTTTCTCGAAGAGTGTAATATATACTTATAGTTCAACTCTAATATAATATATAAGCATCATAATGTAATATATATTTGTACTTGATTCTAATTCAATGAAGAATACCTTCGTATCCGTCGGGAAATATAGGAAAACACATCAACTCTAGTTAGTTTCCAAGTTGGAGAATGTATTTTATTATACTTTTGTCGCTTGGGAAAATGCTTTCATCCATGATACACATTATAAGTTACGATCTGTTTAATGATTGATTGTGCCTGACTTTACTGTACAGTTAAGGGATTGTCAGAGTTTCTCACTGAAGTTGCACATACATTATCCGATACTGTTGAAACTTTCAAAAGTTTATTTGCATTTGTTTAATTTTGTATGAGATCTTGGATCTTGTCTCTGATTTCTTATCTCATCACGAAACAACTATAATTTTAGTATATACATTTACGTCAAGAATATCGTAAATATTAATGACGCCAAAAAATTTTTCAGCTCTGTGTCATGTAACTCGAATATAATTATTTAATAATTATTTGTTATATAAATATGTTATAATCATTAAACTGATTTTTTACGTCTTCTTAGCGTTTATTTTGCAATTTCGAAGTAAATATAATTGCATTCGATACATTGGTGTCGTATATTTCATGACTATATGTCATCAGAATGGCTTTTCAGCGAGGTATGTCGTTTCGTTAATAATGTAGTATCAGAGACGATGTGTGTTTCCGTTTCCTGATCATACGTTCTACAAATGTCCATTTATCCTCTTGGAAAATAAATTCGCGTGCAATGTAGTTTTATGTAAATAAGTAGCATAAATTATTGTCATCAAAACTTCTCAGACAATTTAGAATTATTTAAATTATCAGATTAAAAAGTAGCATTTAACTGCAAATATAATACCTTTTTATAATCAAAAAGTCTAAAGTTATAAACTTTGAGAGTTTTAAATTTATAATATATGATTATATATTTTATTAATAATTAAAAAGTATTTCTAAGAATTACAAAATATTAAAATTTTCTCTACCGTAAGGATTATTTTACTGACAAAAATATTAAAATTCTAAATTAAAGATTTAAAATTCTAGATTAAAATATTAAAATTCTAGATTAAAATTCTTTCAAAGAAAATCTTTCTATGAAAAGAATTGGATTTACAAAGAAGAAAAATATATAACAATTAAAAATATGCAGTTAATTATTTCTTATAAACATTTCTTCTTTAAGATATAAAGTAAGAAAATGTTTTATTATTTGTATCAATATTTTGCTGGCAGAAGTATAGTTATTAAAAATTTGTGAGTAAGCCTTGAGTAAAATATATACTCATCAATCTTTATCATCAAGAGCCATTATATAGAAATATAGTATCTTCAGTTATCATTTTTCATATTTTGTCATCATACAAGTGTAAGTCGACATTTTTCTTTGAAGAGTCAAACCGGACAGCGATGATGGGTTTAAGAAGAATTTCATACTTTTTCTTGTTTTTTGAAAATGTGCTTTATGAAACTTTTCGTGACGTTTCTCATTAGATCTTTATCCTACATCATGTCGTGTCTAAATTCTCATAGTTGCATTTATGTATTTTGCTTTACAAAGATCATATTGTGCTAGTAAAATAACTTTTTGTAAAACGCGGATAATGAGATGCAGTCGCTTGAGAATTTTTCCGCAGAAAAAAAAGAGAGCTAAATTTTATGAGATTGCACTGACATTTATTACCTTTTCTACAAAATCATCATTTTTGCATTTTTTTATCGCATGTTCATTTTTTACACGCATTTATTTATATTATGTAATGATATGAGAATCTTGATATGAGAACCTCTATTATTTATTGTTACAAAGACTGTCCAATTGATAATGAACTGATATGAATTAGTATATGTAACCAACATACATATCAAATTTTAGATAAAAATTAGAGCATTTTTATATTTATAAAATTATTATATTTATAAAATATTTATAAAATTCAAATAAATTCTATAAATTATATGATTATAATTTAATCACTTTTCTGAATACTACCCGAAGAGAACTAAAATATAATTTTTATAATAGTGTGTATTGTTCTATTTTAATATTGATAATCTCGCGATTAACTAATTGCTTTATAAGAAATTTATATAAAATATAAGCTTTATGTACAAGTTTTATAAATAAATCATTTCTTATATATTATATTTTATATGCAGTAACTTAATATTACGTAGATTTATTCTCGAGAAATAGCATAACACAATGAAAATGTCTTTAATAGACAAGCAATGACAGATGCACAATTGGATTTCGAGGAATGTTTGGAGGTGTGCCATTGTTCTCCCAGTACAATCCATTGTCAACACATGCGGTAAGATTTTGATGCTTTGCAATGCGATGGTGCATTGATCTCTTGAATGCGAATCAGAACACGAATGTCGCGACCAGATATAATGGATGCCAAAATTGAAGATGAAATACGAGCGAAAAGCTATCTTTAATTAATCAAAGAAATTAATATAACATAATATCTGATGTATCAATTAAATGTATTCAATTAAAATGTAGAAGCAAATTAAGTGATTTAATATTGACGATCAAATTAGAAATCGAATTCTATTTATTATAAATAAATTTAAAATTGAAATATCTTAAATGCATGATTTTGTAGCAAAGCATATTCAATATGATTTGAAAAGAATTTTATTTATTTATATTTAATATGTCATTCTTATAATATTTCTTTCTCATAAGAATATATCTCTTTGTATAAAAATATTTTATATGCTCTATATTATTAGTAAAAATATTAAATGTTATTGTATAAAAATTAAAATTAAATGTTTTAAATGTATTAAATGCATTAAATCATTAAATGTCCGACATACTCTAAAAAACGATATGCGAGAGAAATATTATAAAATATGATGTAAGAAAAACAATTATTTTGATTTATAATAAATTTTTTATTTTTAAAATATCTGAACGGGCGATAATTAAAATGATATTTGATTCGATATTGAGCACTTGGATATGATATTCGAATTTCTCTCGTATCGATTGATAGACTTAAATGAAGATGCAGCTTTGATAGAATACACGTGGATGCTTTGCACGATTCGATGAATATAATCTGCTCAAATAAAGTGCATATTACACCTGATTAGTAGGTTAATTGCGAAATCATATGCATATAGTTGTTGCATGTTTCCATTTTTATGGAATAATGAAGTACGCTGACGGAATTTCAAACATGAAAGATATTAACACACAGCAAAATTAAAATTATAAATGAAATTATACTTCCTTTATATAAAGTGAAAGAAACTGAAATTGCTTTTGTCTGTAATTAATGTGTATGAATGCTTTTTAATTTACAATTTTTCACAATTTAGAAAACTAAATTGTATAAAAATACAACTATATGGGCTTTTGTTGTAAAACAGAAGTTAAGATGAAAATGATATTAGTATATATGATAATTGCTCAATAATATTTTTACTACAGTATCATAAATAACAATTTATAGATCCAAATTTTAAATATAAGTTTACGCATAAAAATGAAATCGAAATAAATTTATGCTCTAGATTTTAACATTGATCTTTTTAAAAAGATTGTCTTGTGAATTTTCAACATTGACAGAAAATAATATCTTTATTCTTCTACCAAGATAAATCATTCCTTTTAACTTTTGTAATTTAATCAGTAATATACGCATATACATACGTATATTAAAATAAGCCGCCAAAGTCGACTCTTTTATGAAGCAGATATGAACTTCATATTTTTCCATATCGTTAATTATACATACGATTTTCATTTACATAACGAGAATGGTAAAATTTTAAATGTAAAATCAAAACTTGCGTGGTTTTGAAAAAAGATAGAGCTAAAATAAAGATATATTGTTTAATATTTATGTACGCGATATTGTATTAATTGTAATAACGTAAATTTTACATGGAATGAAAAAAATATATCTCGAAAGAGAGAGTACCCGTTTTACTATTATAAAATTATATCGATGTCCGACCACACGTTTATTCCATCACTCAGTCGGCGACTGATTGATGAAGAATCGTGCTCTGAATGTTCGTATCTCTGCGCAAGCTTCGCGTATTTACTCTTTCCCACGAGTCTGGCCAAAGAGGAACGAGCTCGCCTGGCTAAAAGAAAAATAGAATACGCATGCGGTTAAGAGAAAAAAGTGTTCAGAACTTCATTAAACTGATGTTACGATATAGCGCACAGCGACCGCGTTTACGCTAAAAATACTTGCGATATAATCAGCTAGTCCGCTGATAGTGATTACTTTGTATTTTTCATATCACAAGCCCAGGAGATCTTTGTTAAGTTTATTGCAGATAAAATAATTACATTAACATATAATTGCTTGCACTTTGTACCGACTTTAATGTTCGATGTAATTTAATTTTTAGATCATATTGAGATTTGATAATAAATTATAATTCGAGATTTACGCAGCGAGTACTGATCAAATTATCTTTAAAAGTTATAAATTAATTAATTAATAAAATTACTTTTATATATCGCGTTTGAAATATATACATATATTTGTAAAAAACAAATTTGAATCAAGTGTTGTGAGAAAAATTAAGAATTAAAAAAATGTGTTTCGTATGGTATGATCTTGGGACAGTTATTGTAGAAAATGCTAAATTATGATTATATAGGCGGAAATGTAGCGTGAGATGGAGAAAGATATAATAATAACAGTTTTGCGTGCGCGTTGAGAAGGTTTCAATAAAAAGACCCTTTTAATGAAAAGGAGGTAAGTGGTATTTTTCCAACTCAGAAAGTGACCCGATTAGTGAACAAATTCTCAAGTCACTTTGTCACTTCCTGTCACTTTGCGCAAAAGGCGATTTGTTTGGGTAAATAATCGTTTTCAAGCTTCTCCGCAATTGTAATTACGGTGCTTAAGCCGACTGCCTTATGGCAGCAATATAGTTTCCTGAATAGGAATTCATGCTTTCCCAATAATTCAAGCTTTGTGTCGAACGGAACTTTCGTATCTAGCAAGCTCCGAAATATCGGCACAAATATATATCAGGCCTCCAGAATTTCCAGAATTTCCAGAGCGAAAAGCATCGGTTACTATCGTCTATAAAGTGTACAAGAAGTTACACTTCGAAGTTACACACGAGCGAATTATGCCTTCCTCCGATTGAACTTTAATTTGTTCTTAATATTGAATGTTGTGTTAATTTTGGTTAAGTAAAAAAATTGAAATACAAGAAAATTTAGAAATTGAAATCAAATTCTCTCTTTCAAATAAAAATTTAAAATTTCCTAGAACATATATTCTTAACTTTATTACATCTCAATTATCTTTTAACTTTAAGACTTGCTAAATAAAATCAGAAACTAAGTTGTCATATTTTCTAATGCGATATATAATATGCTTCCCTAATGAAGATTCTTGATGAAGATTAGCATTAATTTTTAAACTGAAATATTCATAAAAATTTAATAAAAATTAGCATTAAAAACGCATTAGAAACACATTAGAAATAGCAGAGGAAATTGTGTACCTAATTTGCAGTATGAACCTAATTTGATAAATCTGTTTAATAAATATTTCAATTTAATTGCCTTTATTAGTGTTGCTTCTTAATTCTGACCTAAACGCAGGTGAAATAAATGTAGATAGTGCACATTATCATAATGATTTACACATAAAAAAATACAATAAAAATTACAATATATTATATACATATAACGCATAGAGAGAAAAATCATAATATTTTTATTCAATATTATATATGTATTATATTTTTTTATTTTTATTTTATATAAAGTATATTGTGTAATTATTATTTAAATATTTTGATGCAGAGATATATGCGTAATTCTTGAAAACAATAAAACAAGTAATAAACAAAAATATTAAAAAAAAAAAAAAAAAAAAAAAAAAAAAAAAAAAAAAAAAAAAAAAAAGACACGCAGTATTACAAACTTTAAATATTCTGTCAAACATGTTAATTAAAATAGAAAAATAGGAAAGATGAAAAAAGAGAGATATGTGTATGTGTGGTTGAATATTTCATATTTACGGCGCACTCGAAAGTTTCCAGCATTCGAAATGTTTTCCAAAAATGCCGAAATATCACTCTCGATAGATACAGAAAAAACACTGAAAACAATCTATATGTTTGCACTTATCCCTTGTGCATGCCTCGTTATAAAAATATGCGTTTCATCTCTATTAAGAGATTAAAAGAGATTAAAAGAGATATTAAAATTTAAATTTACATAGATTAATAACGGTATAGTAGAATCCTTATTGCGCAGTTGTCAAATCACTTCGTGTTTATGTCTCTGTCAGTTTCAATCTCCGTTGAATTTTCGTGCGTCGTCGATTATTAATGTAAAATGACGGGCGAAATGCAAGCATCGGTCAACCTCGCGCAACAGACCATTCATGTATCGTGCGTATATGTGTGTGTGTGTGTGTGTGTGTGTGTGTGTGTGTGTGTGTGTGTGTGTGTGTGTGTGTGTGTGTGTGTGTGTGTGTGTATATATATATCTATATATATATATATATATATATATATATATATATATATATACATGTTCGTGAGCGGAAGCCACAGATGAGCTATGTGTACACGCAGCCCTTTTAAATTATTTTAACGTTACCGCCACATATTATCTCTGCTTGTTAGCTTCACAAGCACGTATTTATCTAACTTTAAATTTTACGTAAAATATTACTGGGTTGTTTCAAGTAAGTTTTTATCACTAACTCAATTCCCTGTAATCAAATATCCTGATGTGATAAAATCAGATCAATCTGAAAAATCTCTGACCTGAAATGGAGCAAAATACAGTTTTACTAGTTACAGATAATTTGAAAATGATACTTTTTTTCACTAAAGCAAAAAATGTATAAAATTGTATTCTTTTTTTTGAAAACAAGACGTTTTTTTATTAAAAAAATTATAAATTATTTCTATTTTAATTTTAACTTTCAAAATAAATTAAATTATCTCGATAACATAACGGCAATTTATTGATTTGCTCTGTTGTAATAGTTTGTTTTGTTATTACGCTAATCTTCAACTTCTCTCTTATAAAAAGAAATATTTAACTTTTATTAATTCTTTTATTAAGAAACATCTCTATTTTTCTTTGCAAAGATATAATGTTATTACAAATAATCGATATCCTTACAAGTTGATTATAATAATATGCAAGATATACAATATTATTTTATATAACAAAAATTTAAAAGTAAAATGCAAATATTCATTTAATTTCAATAATTTTTTTTATATTATAATTATTCGTAAACCAGAAAGTGATTAAAATTGTTAATGCACAATGTAAGACTTAAACATTATACATACAATTTTTACATATAATTTTACACATTTTACATATAATTTTATTTTCTTTTTCTTGATTTATAGAATAATTTCTACATTTCTTTTATTTATTTAAAATTTAGATGACAGAATGCGCTTAATCTCTTGTCTTGTGACAGAATGCATTTCAATTTCAGTATTATACTGAGATTAATTCTCGAGAGCCATGGTTTGCGCTTTTACCAAAACTTTGATATTCTGACTTTAAATAAATATGCTTCCGTGTTAGAATGTTCTAACAATAGCTGATGCTTCCAAAATTAGCAGATATTTTACGAATCTCCTAAGAGATTTTAATTTTAAAGTTTGACTTTTTTCACACACATTATATGTTACAGTTTAAGATAATGAGAGTGAGAAAAATGTGTATATTACTATACATAAAATACTTTTTTTGTATCGGTGCCCACAAATTTGTAGATGTATTTATTAATTGGTTTAAAGTAGATCTTTTCTCTTCAAATATTTGACAATAAAATATTCTACAAATATTTTACAATTAATTAATTTTCTATATTAAATGATTTAATAGCTCATCATAAATATGATTTAAAATAAAATTGATTGACTAATTCTTGAAAATAGGAAATGTTAATAGAGCGATATTGAAAAAGAGACAAAGAACTATACAAAATAAATTTTTGAAAATAATATGAGTTTTTACGAGAATATAAGAGATTAAATATAATATTGTAATTTATATTTTATAAAATATTATTTTGTAATTATTTTGAAGAATATTTAAATTTATAGGGGAAAATATATATAAATAATTCTTTTATTTTTCTATAATCTGTTACAGAATCTGTTAAATTGAGCGGGGTTGTTTCCTATGACGGTTAATTAGTTTAGCTTGAATGTGAATACGAGAATGTATGAGAAATGGACGGCATGCAGTATGACTAACAAGTGCCACATGACATCTTCAATAGTCCTCATGTTTTATTTTCTTGTGCTTTAATTAAATCATGGTTATATCTATTAAAATACGCGATTCAATTTTTCTGTTACAATTGTTCGCATTTGCAATATGTATAAAATGTATTCGAAACATTTTTTTCATAATTATTAAAATATTTGATAAAAAATTATATTTATAATATGAAAATAATATATAATATAAATAACTTTCCGCGTTATTTCCTCTATCACATTTATAAAGTTAAATATAAATTAAATTTTCATGATATTCCTACATCTTAGCACGAATGCTCATATATCAATTAATTAATTAAATTTAGTTCTGTTATCTGTGCTTAAATATGCATTTTTAATTTAAACTTTGTATAAATATTTTCTGTTAAATATTCACTTACGTATTGTTTCTTTCTCAAAATTGTTCTGGTGACGGAGAATCACTGTTCTAAATCTTTGATTTTTCACTAATATAATAGAATTGAAAATCAAGTGTGAGAAACGAATGCTGCGTCACGATAAAAGCAACGAAAAGCTCAACCGAGATTCATGCTACGAGAAGCAGCATGCTACTGGCCGAATCATCCCCCGTTTCGCCCGCGAGACAACCCCATTATTAGGTCGACGGCAGCGCAGCCACATGGAGGGTTGGATCACTATTACAAGCACTCTAGTTGGCATGTATTCGGACTTCCTGATTTGGAAACAGCTTGAAGTCGCTTTGAGATTGCAATATTTTTTCTCTCGCTTCTCGTTCGATCATAGTATTAAGTATCATACACAAATGCAGTTTAAAACAATTAGCTGCACCAATTTAAAAACTTTCGCAATTAAAATAACAATGATATTATAATTTTTCTTTAATTTTGGAATTTTAATCTTTCTTAAAATATTTTTTTTATTTAAAAAAATTTTTATCATTTAAGTATGTGTTGACCTCATATGCATACTTATAAAGGAATTGATTACTTGATATTTTTCATGTAGTTATATTTTCTTCAATTATTTTTTTAAAATTCTATTTGTGTGATTTATTAATAAATATCAAAAAAATAAAGCAAGAAATTAATAGCATGAGTAGTAAAAGAGTAAGTACAGTTTCTATAATGAAGGAAAGGATTAATTTAAAAAATTAATTTAATTAATTAATTTTTTTAAATTAATATTTCGTCAATATTTTTTAATTATAGTAGATAATTATAGTAGATAATTAGTAGAAGCACTTCTTTGTTTTTTTTATGGAAAAGAAACAAAGAAGTACTTCTACTATAATTATCTACTATAATTAAAAGACATTGTCGAAATATTAATTTGAAAATTAATTAATTAAAATAATTAAATCCTTTTCTTAATTATAGAAATTGTATGTTTACTCTTTTATTACTCATGCTATTATTTTTTTGCTTTATTTTTTTGATATTTATTAATAAGTCACACAAGTAGAATTTTAAAAAAATATTTGACGGCTTATGAAATCGAAGATTGTGCATAGTCTGTAAAATAGGAAAAAATAAAATATATAAAAATATGATAGTTTTCACATGCACACTGTAACTGATATAAAGCCCAAAATTTTTGGAGAAAATAAAACAATATCAATGTGTGTCCATTCGTATTTTTTGATGTATTGATCTTTTATATCTGTACGATTTACGACGCGTATACGACTGCCATTATTAAATCGTCGCTAGAATAGAACATTCTCCGATAACTGTAGAGCAATTTTAATGAAAGTTTGGCAAAGAATTGGAAAAGGGACTTTTTAAAAAGACTTTTTAATATTAAATGTATTTTATAGAGTATATGTATGTATAAAAGGCAACAATTTTTTTATTTGTGTTTATTAATATGAGAAATATAATTATAATATATATATATATATATATATATATATATATATATATATATAGTATAAATTTATATAAAAATATATTATAAATTTACTACTCGTGAGAGATTTTATCAGTTAATCATATCTGATATCACTAATCGAAACTTTAGTAATAATGCTTAAATACAGAATAAATAAACGATAATGCATGTAATCAAGCTGTCTTATCTTTGCATATAACATTTTTTTTTCAATTAAATATTGTCTATAAGATATAAATTAAATATCACAAAAAGCCTTACACGAAAAGGCGAGATAAATTAAATTTAATCAATGATAATTAGCTTTTTAGAACAGCATTTTCAATATTAAATAGTAGAATTTATTTAACATTAAATTAATAGTAGAATATTTATTTAAGTGTTTAGGACAAAATTCTAGTATGAATATGATAAGGCTGTTTTTGAAATGAATTATAAGCGTTTATTTTTGCTAATTAACTTTCAAAAAATAATATACATACACTGATGTAATGCTATTTTTTACCACAAATCTCATAGATTTATCTATAAAGTTTAAAAAATCAAAAAATTACTGCAAAAAGTTTATAAAATTTGCAATTCTCTCATACTATAAGCAAATATTACGTCCTGATGTATATGTACAAGTGAAATATGGAATGCATGGGGAGAGACTAATTAAACAAACAGTTCTAATTAATCCTGGAATTTCGCCATTGGGAAGGGACCGAGAATAGTATGAGGTAAATTTCTCGAGAATTTATTATAATTTATTACACTGGTGCGTGTCTTCTCTAAATGCGTTGAAATTTAATTTTGCTTTATCCCTAACATTAGCTAGATTTACATCATTTATATCTTGTTTATCCAATTAGTGTACAATTTAGTAATATAATTATATATATAGTATATAATTAGTAATATAATTATATATATAGTAAATAATTTTTAATTAATTTATTGATAGAAATAAATATTTTAAAAACTAGATGAGATATATCTAAATTTAAATCATTCATTTTTTGACTAAAATTTCGTTAAATGTTACCATTTTACAAAGCTTCTAAAAATTTAATTGTATAGGTAACAAAATAAAAATAATTCTAATATTATAAATGCAATTAAATAAATCTTATTGTAATAAATCTTATTTTGAGTTAAGCAACTAGAAAAGGTTTTCATTAGAAACTAGTGAACCTAATATTATTAGAGAACCTACTTTCTATAAGATTTTTAATTGTTTAAAATTCAAAAACATTCCCTCGATATTGTTTTTAAAGAAAAATTATTAAGAAGAAATAAATATTTATAAAATATATATGAATATTATGAGTATTAATTTGGCTTATAAATCAATTCTAACTACATACACTATATTTAAGTAATGTTAGAAAAGTTAATACGAACTTTTAGGCACTGGTGCACGTGCTATAAACTACCTATCTATTTTTGGCCGAAAAGGATCTGAGTTAAGGTTAAAACTAGTATTTACTGCGAGGATCGGCTTCCAATGAAAAGTGAAAGATATTACGAGAAACGTGCTATAAGAGTATTTTATAGCATGTACGCCAATTTCCAGAAGCTCGTATATCGTATTAGATCGGCTTAGAATTTTTCTAAGATCAAGTCAAAAATTATTTTTTATAAATGTATATATTTATACATATTATATATTCTGTGAAGATGGTTATCAACTGTTTATATACATATTTTCTTTTGTTTATATACATATTAATTGATTGAAAAGAGACTTGTTAATTTTATCAATAGCTCTTAAAGTCTTAAACTTAATTATCGTAATTTTCAATTTTCAGATATTCTTTAGGATATTACTATGCAACTTAAATGTTGAACAACAACAATTAAAACAACGCATAAAATTTCGTCCTCTGAAAATTGCTTTAACGCAATTTCTCATCGTTTGATTAATTCATCGTAAAATTAAATTTTCCAAGTGCTAAATCTCGCTATCAAAATAAATAATTTTAGATGTCGGTCGAAGCTTTAAAAAATGCGGATGATATGACTATTATGAAACAAAGACGAAAAGGATATACTGATGTATTCTGATCACGATAAATAATGCTTTGCAATATTTTGCTCTTTTCGTGCAGTTATATATCACTGCAAAATATGCCCGTGAGCTTGGCTAAGTTCAATTCCTGCAGGCTGACGAATGATTTATAGCCAAACCGTGCAAGTACACAATGGCAGCAGCACTTGCAATAGAGAAATCTATACCCCCCTACATTAAATAAAGCTAGATTGGTTTCACAAGTTTTTATAGAAATAAATTCTATACATAAAAAACAGCTTTTCAAATTTACTTAGTAAATTTACTTAATAAAATTTTACTTAATAGTAGTCATTCAATACTCATTTAATACATTATTCTTAAATTACATTTTAAATTACAAATAAACATTGATATAAATATACATGTTGAATATTATAAAAATAACATACAGAAATATATAGACATAAATTTTTCATCGGTTTTTATGTTATATATATAAATATCTTATGTTATAAATATATATATATTTTGTTTTATAATGTTTTTATATATTGTTTATTCTAAATATATACATATATATATATATGTATATATATTATAATTATTATTATAGTATATAATATAATAGTAATCTAACAAATTTAAAATATTGAAACTATTATAAGTATATATATATATATATATATATATATATATATATATATATATAATTATAATAGTTTAAATATTTTTAATTTGTTAGATTATTATTATATTATGTACTATAATAAAAATTATAATTTAAATAATAATATTTATAATTTTTAGTACACTATAAAATAAAAGTTTAAGATTTCTCATGCATATATAAAATGTAAATTTTGTAAAAATCATATTTAATATAGTTTCGCATATATGCTTCGCGTTCATTGAAAATTCAGATATTACGTATTGTAAAGATGATTCAAATTGTAAACCCAATTTATCCATCTTCCTTTTCTGCGAGTTTCTTATGGTAATCGTTGGTATGTGTAAAAGGAAACATTTGTATGTATCCTTGGATCCATACAACATTTCACAATTGCAAAGCTGAGTATATGTAGATTCTTAAGATGGTGCATAAAAGATTGCATATCCAAGATGAATATTTTCGGGAAGAGAGTTTCTCGAAAAATTCATATTGAGAAATTCTAATATAAACATTATTTGTGTACTTTTGACACAAAAAGTATTAAAATCTTTAATAATATTGTACAAATTCGAGAATTGTGAGCAATCTATTTATTTCTTGTTAAGAAAAAAATGATCAACATATGTGAGTTTCATATAAGGATGTAAAATATAACTTTAGCCTTAGAATTTTAGCCTTAGAAGTGAAATATCTTGATTTTTTTTTACTCAAATATATAATATTTATGTAAATATTGTTTGATAATAGGTATTGAATATTCTCTACACATAATTGTAAAAAAATCAATGTTCGTGATTTCAATTATTCGTTGTAATCCATTTTAGAGCATATATACGAAATATGTACGAAATATATCTATACATACGAAAACTATCGCGTTTTATGAAGTTTCGAATTTGGGAAATGTTTATTACCGCTAACGTTAGTTGTTAAATGAGCCAGTTAGCCGCAACAAAGGGACATGAGAGTAAACTTTACTTTGTGTAACGAATTAAAGGTATGTGTATATCTCAAATGACACACACACACACATACGCACAGTTATTTCACAGAACTATCTCTTTGATACATTCGTGGGAAACTGATCATTTCATGCTGTTATCGATATCGACAAATATTGAAATGCAATTAACCGCCTGTTAATACATGCAAATGCAAATTCTAATAAACAAAGTGCAATCGTGAATACATTACAAATTTTCATAAATAAATTGTAGTTTTTGTTAATACATCATATTTTTAAATTGCAAGATAAATGTAATTAAGAATTGATATAAATAGAATTAATTTATTCTAAAAATGTGATTACGTTAGTTTGCGTAAATGTTAATATAAATGTAAGTTTATTCATGTATTTTGAATATCGCTGCTTTATAATTATTCGTAGTAATATTGTTCAAGTATTTTTAATTAGATTAATTACATACACAAATATTAGTCTTTAATTAAATATTAGTCTTTAATTAGTCCTTAATCAAATATTCGTTTAATTTCATATTTAATGATAACAAGAAAACTGGCTATCATAAACTTAATAATTCAATCACTGTCCAATCAAAATGTCATTAATTTCTGACGATTCTATCTCTTGATTGCGATCTCTTGATTTAGATTGTAGGGAATTTTTTGCAATCGATTTTACCGCATTATACTGAAACAGAAGCAAATATGCTAATGAAGTGAATCCATGTATAATAAAATGCTGAACATTATGACACTTACAGTTTTATGCATATGATTGTAATCCTTGTTGTAAATTCTCGGTCCGTTTTTACGGTAGGCAGGAATTTGCTCGGAGCCATGCAGAATCAGTGTAAATTCTCCAATTGTACCATAATTTTGCATCGGGCCTATCTGCAAACATGCATATATACATCATTAAATACGCGTAACAGATGCAACATGATTGATGCACAATTCACGATTGCCGATATGTAGAAAGGTAATTTGAACCAATCAATATTTACTTAATTAGTTACGTTAAACATGTTTGCAATCTACAGTTTTAAAAATTTGATGGAATTGAAGGAAATACGGTATATACTACACATATTATATTATGTTTCGAAAAAAGTGGTGTTTCAAAAATTTGCAATATTTTTATTTATATATAGAATTATTTATACGAATATATATTGTGTCAGATTATTTTTATGGATTATGATTTTTCAAGCATTTGATGACATAAAGAAGACATTTTTTTATTTGTATTATTTTTAAATTCAATCTTTTTTGAATTTTTTATTTTTATTACTGTCTTTTTTATTTTTACTGTACTTTTTTATTTTTATTACTGTGTATTAAGAAAATGTACACATGCATATTTTAACATATCTATTTTTTTTGTGAAACATTATTATAAAAATAGAAAGTTGTAATAGAAATTTATAGGTATATTTTGTAAGAGAAGAAAAAGAGAATAATCAAATATTATATATATTGCAATTATATTTTCATTATTTAGTATTTATTTAGTATTCATTATTTAGTTATTAATATAGTGAAAATATCATTATTTTCTTAAAAGTAATAAAATTAATTATAAATCGTTAAACAGTTCTTTTACAATATGTATATACAATATATATAATTATATATAATAAATCGATAATAGTAGAATTTACTTGATAAAATGTTTCCAATGTCTTACTTTGTCAAATATGTACAAGATCCATATTCCTCGAGGGTCTTCGCCCCACGTTGCGACGGACATGAACTTCCACTTTCTAAAACCATCCTTAGATTTATCCCACTTCCTTGAACTTAAAATCTGGACTAAAGTACCTAAGAAATCAAACACATTAACGTGCATGAATGCAAAATAAATGTGCAACAATTTTTTGCTTTTTAATATAATAATATAATAATATAATAATAAATAACATATATATATATACATGTGATACACTCTGTTAATATAAAAATGTCAAATTAAATTTGATATGTGTAAAGAGCGCATATATACATAGTATATATTTTAGTTTAGGTACGTAACCAAAACATTGGTTCTGCGTAACATGCGTATATTAATCGCAGGTGTACGAACATTATCGACTTTTTTCCTGCAAGCATGCGTAGCAAGCATGCAACTTTGAATAATATTATATACATACGACCTAGTTAGCATTAGATTTTGTAAAATAGAACCTTACATTTATCTTTTAAAATAAGTTTTAATATTATATACATACAACTTAGTTAATATTAGATTTTGTAAAATAAAACTTTACATTTATCTTTTAAAATAAGTTTTATATGCTATAATAAATTACTTTATTGTAATAAATTTTAATGCGAGATTGATAAAAATTTAATAAATATAATTATATAATATTTGTAATATATGTATAATATAATAAGAGATATAAAAGTAACATTAGCCAAATTTTCTTTGTAAAAAATTAAAATAGATTTAAAATAAAATTTTCAATAAATTTTCTGACTTTATATATATAAATAGAGAGAAAGAGAGAAAAAGATCCTCAATGCTTTATTACTTAACAATTACTCTACTACGATGTAGAAAAATCACATAATAAAATAATATAATAAAAGTCTAAAATCTTCTCAACATTATTGTTCAAATGCATCTGAATAGTTTTGTCTTTTACATTTTAATACATATATATTACATAATACATTTGGAATTTGTTTTGATATTTTGGTATAAGAAAAAAAATATTATCTGTCAATAATAATGTCAATCAACAAACATATACAAAATTAAATAACGCAATCTATTGACTAAATTAACAATTGCGATCTCCTTGTTCCATCTGACTTTATGTCTGAAATATTTATTTGATATAAAAACCAAATATTTTCCTTTTTTTCTGACATTTATTATATATTAATATATAATATTTATTATATATTACATATATAATGTATAATATAATATATAATATTTATTATATATTATATATTATACATTTATTATATATTAATATATAATAAATGTATTATTTAGTTCTTTTCTCTATGTAATAGATTCTAAGAAAATATATATAATATATTAAATATAATTAGACATATATATAATATCCTGCTCAATAGATTCAATTATGCGACTTAAAAACAATACTTCAAGTGTTTCACGGATTCTTTTTTTATGGATATTTTACATAAAAATATGTTTTACTAAACGCAACAATATTCCATAATTTTTATATTAAATAAATTATGCAATATTAAAATAATAAATATTTTTTTTCTATCGAATTTTGTTCTTTTCTGAATAAACAGATTACATCGAAGTAGTATCAATTGAATTTCTATCTATAAATTGGACTAAGAACGTATTCGGGTAGTTAAACGTATTTGCGACAGAAACGTGACTTGCAATATTAATGAAGGTTTTCTGTTTGAATTATACGTTCATTATTTGCTGTCCTCTCTTAATAGGATTGCATTATCTTAAACTAAGCATTTATCTTAAACAATATTTATGATTACTAAGTGAAAAGAATGGAAAAAACACATAAAATTGGATATTTATTTATCAGAAAAAAAGTTTGTAAATTTATTATAAAATATTTTAATTTATCTTTTATATTTTTTAGATATTGCACAATTTTCAAAAAAAATATATAATACAATCTAATTATTATACTTGATAATATTTATCACAATTTTGTTCACTCCTTTCTTTGCATTTTTTGAATATTATATCTATTCCCTATTGAGAACTCTTTTTCCCTTCATAAATTCAAATTCACAGCAGCAAATAGAACTCAATAAATTTGGTTGGAAAGCGGATTTCCATGAATGCAGCTAAACGCATTTGCATTTAGTCTCCGAGAATATTCTCGGAAACTTCAGCGTCAATATAATTATAGAACATTTTCCTTGCATGGTATTTTTAAAGATCTCTTAAGTGTCTTAACTAAGGATATAAAATGGTCCATTCCAACCGTTTTTATGGCTATTTCCTTCTTTTTTCGTCTTTTTATTCCTTTTTGTTCCTTTTACGTCTATAAGATGGATACAAATGAAGATTGGCAGCATTTCCAGGCGTGCATTTAGATGAGACACTAACTGCTCAAGAAACTCTGTGCGACTTTGCACAGCAAAATTTTACTGAAAGTGTTGCTTACATCTTTATTTCTATATTTGCAGAAGATTAGGAACATATACACGAGAAAAATTTTATTTTTTTATGTATGTGTGAATCATATTTATCAATCAATGCACGTAGGAAGAATTGTGAAAGCTTGATAAATGATTTAAAGGTAAAAAATATATACCAGACGGTGAACGTAGATACATTTCTAGTGCGCCGCGACGAGAGTATTCGAGATTCACCTCAATCTCCACGTGTTCCAAAAAAATAATCTCACTCTCCGATGTCCGACAAACGTTACTGGCATCGAATAGCAGATGCTTCGTATTTCCATAAGCTATTTTAAAGTCATCGGTGCTGCAACGTGAAACACGTATATTCCAACATTTATGCGTGTGCAGAATGTTTATGCGATAAATGAATTTAAAAATGAACATTCTTGGAAATGTACGAGAATTGTCACATATTTTCAAAATCAATAAGTCACACAAAGTGCATCACTTTGCTTTGATATACAATATATAATTGAACTTTACAAAATTTTTCTCTTGCTTGTCAATATGAAATAATTTATTAATTTCTACCTTTATCTCTAAGTACAAATAAATAATAATATTACAAATTGTTTGTACACAATATTTATATTATAGATTATTATTCATATTCATTCTCTCACGCAATTCATTTGGCCAACAATTCAAAATTAAACAATTAAACAATTAAATGTAATTAATATAAGCGCACGATTTTGAGACAACTTGACAAATGAGAATAATTATGATAATACTGTAGAACATATAAAAGAATAGAAATTAATGAAGCTGCCTTCGTGAAAATTCATAATTGAATTATGAAAATAATTGCAGACGCGACTCAGGGCGAAGTAAAACACGCAAGGACATGAAACCGGGAGAATCTTCAAAATGTGTACGCGCATGCATGTACTTAAATTGCAGTAACTGAGAGGAAATTTTGTAACGAAATTAGCGCGCATTTTCGGTTATATACTAGGAGCTATTTTCAGGAAATGATTCTGTACATTCGCATCTTTGGTGTCTAAATACCAAGAATTCTGCTCTGTTTTCTAGAATGTTGAATAAACTACTCTGTCAAGAACGTACTTTGGAGAAAGTCCTCAACCGTTGAATGCACCGTTTTCTCACCTCGTAACGAACGAGAACTTTTACGACCTTGTTGAATTTAACGATGCATTTCTTATCTCGCGCGTCTTCGAGCATTCGGAAATGCCTCTTTGAAAAAGGAGGTCATAGTGCTCGATTGACATGACGTACGAAGAAAACAGAATCGGGTTAAGCAGAGAGGTCGTGAGTTTTTTAACACTTATGAGACATGTGAAATAAAATATCTAGCATATAATGTATATGTAATACAATATAAATATAATATAAATGTAATATAAATATAATAATAATATAATAATTATATAATAAAAACACATAAATATGTGTGGATAAATCATAAATGACAGATACATGATTGTGTTAATATGTTAAAATAAAAATTTTGTAAATGTATATGATTTTTGAAGCAATTAAAATCTAAAAAAAATTCTAGATTAGACATTAATTACTCTAACATGTATAATTGAGTTAAATTGCGCAAGTATATTTTTGTTTTTCTTTTTTGTAAGAAAAAGTATAGATAATTTAAATAATTTTATAATCTACCGTTTAGATCTTGATACGATATTTGCATATTGTGCAATTAAACTCCAACGTATTAAATATGCTAATTTACTTACTTGTACATATTAACTACGCAAATAGTCTTCTCCGGTACTGTCTCCCAATTGTAGCTTGCCATTACCAGTGCTTCCCCATTCATAAGGCCAAATCCAAAAGCCGGGTTAAACAAGAATCCAGCCGCATTCTTAAACCATCCTGGATTTTGACTGAAAATTTATGTAACTCTTCTAAAATTTATAAACTCATCTTGCGCGCGCATAAGAAAGAACTTTTCATAAATATATAAAAGCAATAAGGAAATGACGGTATCAAGGAGGAAGGAAAATTATTCTCTTTATTCTGACATCCTGTCAATTTCTTTTTTGTCAAAATTTCTAATAGAAATAACATGATATTTGCATTGTTATTGGAATTTTATAAAATAATAGTCGCGCTAACTGGATTTCTGAAGAGAATATTATTACATCAAAGATTAAAACTGGTATCTCTCTGTGGAATGAAAATCGATTTTCTCTAAGAACTACCTATCAAATGTAATTTATTTGCATGAAATATGATCATAATTAATATTATCGCCAATGCGAACATGATATTTTCTTGTGAAAGCGATTATAATCTCTTCTATAATTTGAGACGATAATAAAAGGCAATTAGTATGGAATATAAATTATGCGGTAAAGCAATAACGAATAAAAGTGACCATCTGTGCGCACGTATTTTAGTACATTTATAATCAAATAACAATTTTTTTCTGCTATAGAGGGAAAGGATGATTTTTTTTTCTTTAATAACTATTCAAAAATTTATTACACACACATTACATATAAATTTATTGTGTGGGTGTGTAAAAAAAAATGATGCCCAGAGATTGAGTAATTGCGTTTTAATTATAACTCAATCGTTTTGTTTCACCGATCTTAATTACAAATATTAATTATAATCGATTGCATTGAGAATTATTTTTAACGGTAAATTGAGAAAAATTGTTTCCTGCGCGTTTCATTCGAATTATAAATTCTACAGCGTAAAAAAGTGATGTTGCAATCTATTCTGTTAAAGTGCGAATAAGAATTTAAGCTGACACAATTGCAGATACACGTGACCCGAATTGCTATTCGCGAAATACTCACCTGAGAGGACTATACTCTGACGACCAAGCCATCAAATGTTGAACATCCCTCCACGTTAAATTATTGCTGTAAAAATAAAAGAAGCCGTTAGTACCAACTTTGATTAGAATATCAATAACTTCCTGCTAAAATAACGTCTTTATTTTGAATCGTGAGTTAATCGAGGATAAATTGAAACTCAATACACTGTGACCTCTGAAGAGCAAATGTGTATCGAATATTTCACACGCGGTCGTATATTTTAAAATGTAATCAAGGCCAAGAAAAATAATGCGAGGAAAAGAATATTTGGGCTTCGAACATATAGATTTCTAGAAACTATTTTTAGTTTCAAAAATAGATGTCTAAAAAAATTTTTTTCTTAAATAATAAAATTATAATTTCAAATAAGTTTTTTTATTTCGTGATAATATAATCCAATATTCCACAGAATTATATTTTATGTTTTGCAAGATTATATTTCTGCAAGATAGTAAATTATACTTTTACAACAAAAAAGAAAAGAATTATACAAGATGAAAAGATAACATTAAAGGAATTAACAAGGACGCTAACTTTGATACGAGAAATGCAAAGTTTTAATAAAGATGTTGTAATATAAGTTATTAACAGATATGCGGAAATCTTTCACTAAGTAATTAAGAGATTTTTCTTTTAATGAATATTATTTTAATATATTTGCTTGGCTATATTTTTATTTTCTTATTTATAACTTATATTTATTTTATTTATATTCTTCTCTTGATATTATACCCTAATTATTAAACATTAATTATTATATTATTTATTATAATTAAGTTTCACCCAGTTTAAAGTTAAAGCTTTAATATATTACAGGGATTATTGTTGCGGAAAAAGGAAAGTTTGAATTATAGTAAAATAAAGTATCTCTTTTTATCGATTATATAAGTAAAAAATGAATATAAATAGTAGCATAATGAAGTTAGTATGTTCTGTGTAGTGGGTTTCTGAAGGAAAAGTTTCAATAGAGAAAGATTATTGCTATTTAATGTGTTCGTACTTTACTTGTAGCGCGAGAGCTAGTATTCCGGCGGCTAATGGGGCTGAAGCTGAAGTACCCGTATGGTTGGTCGTACATGTATTTTTCAGATCTGTTGTTACCTGCAAAACGTAAATAAAAGTAATTAAATTATTCGATTTTTTTAAAGATGAATTCCGTGCTTTCACAGAAGGCTAATAGCTTAATTTCAAAAAGAAAAAATCGATAATAATTGTGAAATATCGCATTAAATTATACTATAGATTCAAAATTATTTTATTCTGAGCAAAATTTCATAACATTTTAATTATTTATTACACATTTACGCACGATTCGAACATTAAAATATTTTTATTTTTCTAAATAAATTTAACAGAAATACGTGTGCAATTAATTATTTATATAGCGCATATTTTGTAAATATATTACGTGTTGAAATGACTAAAACTTTACATAGAATTGTTAAAATTTGTTTATTCAATTTCTATTAAATTTAATTAATATAATGCAAAGTATCTAAGAGAACAAAATACAACACTTACTATCTTTTGATCGTAATACGCGCCGCTGCTATATGTCGTAGCGAGTAGAGCAGGACATCTCTCTCCGTACCAAGGAAGTTTTCCAGTTTGGCTAACTGATCCTACGGCCACGGTGTATATACTTCCAACATATCCGTCGTATCCGCAATCGTCCGAATTTCCACCATTCCCAGAGGCCCATACGTAAATGTTACCTTTGCCGTTACGACCCTGTCAAATATTCGAGCATCAATATTGCCATAAGAAATATCAAGCAAAAAATGACTTATTCACCAGGCAATGAAACTTCCACGTTATATCGGGTTACATAGAAGTGTATATTTGCAAATCATAAAAAATGCATTGTAGGAAGATAAAAGAAGGGTAAAGAAGAGGAATGTATGAATTATACATATTTAAAAATTCCTACATTTCAGAATGCAAATTATAATTTTGCCAAAAGATGCATCATTATATGTATATATTATATATGTTATTTTATGTAAAAATTATTCATAATAAAAAATTACTTATAACAATATAAATATGCTATAAAATTGGGTCTTTCTTTCATTTTGAAATTTTTTTAAACTCTTCTCTCTTTCTCTCCCTCTCTCTCTCTCTCTCTCTCTCTCTCTCCTTCTCTTTCTCTCGCGCGTTTATATTTAATCTTCGTATGAAATGAGAAAAGAGAACATTTTATAAGAGTCTTGCTAATATCCCTTTTTACAAGCAGAGTTAGTTTTTTTACGATAATATTAAAAGTCGACACACTTTTATGTAATCGTAAAAAATAGATTTACTTCGATAATAAAGTTTAAAATCAGGGCGTACAAAGAAAGATTGTGGCATGAATGAATTTCAGTTCAGTTATTTCAGCTACGTTGAGTCATTCTCTCATTTTTCTTTCATTCATTTCTTAATTCTCTTTAATTTCGATCAAACTTTCATGTACAAAGTAGAGTTTTACAATCATGAATTTATTATACAAGTGAGAATAATTTTGATCACGAGACATTTGCTTTGCTAAGCGTATCTGTGTATTTGTAAATCATACATTTGCAGATAGTTAGGTGATATATGAAAAAATGAGATATGAAAAAATTTGACAATTGAAATTTTATAATAAATAGAAAAATCCAAAAAATAAAAAAAGTTTTAAAATTGTTATATAAAAAAGCGATCGTCATGGGCAACATATTTGAAGTTAAATTTTAATTAGGTTTAAATACGCTTAGTCCAGCTAAAAGCTTGTTTAAATATTAAACAGTCTGTTTCATTTTAAAGTCAATTCGCTCAATCCAATTCAATTACAAAGTCTCACAAAGTTCACATTTTCTTTCTCTTTTTTGTAAATTTCTAGAAGGTATCAAAAACTCGGTAAGAATATAATATTGATCTGTGGACTCAATAATATTTATTATAAATTTTATTGCGTATTTATAAGTTGTTGATGAAATGTTGATTATAAGTAATTTATTTTATTTGTTCAGTTTTCTGAGCTTCAAATCTAAATTATTTTTACAGCTATAAACTCTTCTTATTAAAGAGAACATTTTTATTGAAATATTAAAAGTAAACTTGGTAGTAAACTAACTTTTGTTACACCGCGTTTGAGTGCCTCGACGGCGAGTCTGCGGGGTCCGTCCAATGTTTCTCCATCGTCAGACGGTCCCCAGGAAGCTGAATAGATATCGATGAGTTCTTGTTTATAACTTAGAGCTTCGCCTTCTACACGATCGTTCATTAGGCCGTCGAGGAGCTTGATGCCGCCGATGGATGCCTCGAAGGCAATACCGACACCACATTTTCGGTTATTGGCTTCCATCGCTATCTCGCCAGCACACTTGGTGCCGTGAGCGTTTTTCCCTGAGGAGCAGTTGAATTTCTAATGCGTTTGTGAAACAATAATATTCAATCGGGTCGGTAAAGTTCGCCAAGGTTCGCTGTTGCACAAGTAGAAGAATTAAACATGCTCTGCAGGGAATACTGCCAGGAGATCTCAAGATCTCGCTTACGCATTTACTTGGTTTTAAAATATAAAATTTAGCTTAAATAATTTTCGAACAGTAGTAATATCGATTGATAAAAATACAATTGAACATAGCTATGCAATGAGAAGTCAAGCCACTTAAACATTTACTTTTATTTATAGTTAAAATGATATTGTATGTATAATATATATAGTATAGGAAGATCATTTGGGTTGTATTGAAAATAAACTATTATATTTCCTCTCTTTGATTTCAGTGATCATTTAATATACTAATGTCCAATATTTGAAACCCGTCAATTTTATTTACCATCGTAAAATTCAGTTCATGAATCATAATGAATGCGCTAAGCATCAAAGACAAAGTGTTTCATATTGAGGGCTTCTGCAGTAGAGGTAAAATCTATATCTACTAAGGCATATCGTGAATTCTATAGTAAATATAAGTCTAAAAAAGTTTCAAATAAAACTATACTACAGAAGATATTATGTTTTCTTCCTGAAATTGTGCCATAATCTAATCTACCCTCCGTTATAATAATTTGAGATTTTTTAATTTTTTTTAATTTTTCAATATTTTTCGCAGGATTATTGATAATTTTCGAATATAGAGCACTTCAAATTGATCGTACACATGATTTACTCGACCCATCTTATACCGTTATAACGGATTAAACAATTGATGATGTTAGAAAATATTTCAAAGAAAATCCAAATTCCTTGATTCGTAAAATTGCTCAGGTCATGAATTTAAGAGAAATTCTACGAAAGATTGTGAAAATATCATCAAACTGCATCCATATAAAATCGTTACACATCAATTGCTAACGACGAAAGCTATGATAAAACGAGTTTAATTTTGCAAAGTGATAAAACTAACATGTTTGAAAATAAGAAACTCGACACGGTAAAAAACATTTTGCATTTCTATTAAAATTTTCTCGTGTAAAAATTTGTGTGTTAAATTTTTAACATACTCTTATATTAATATAACATATTATCGTTGCATTATTTTGACATTTCTGCGTTGAGTTAATATTTACCGTTTCTAAGAGTTAAAACAACACAATTAATATGTAAATGCACAAATTTTTTATGAAATTTATGAAATTTTTTTTATGTTATATTTTTTATGTTATATGTTAAAATAAACAGATAAGTTGTGTTATTTTTCTCTTTATAACAGTTTCCACATGTTAAATCGACATATTTCTTCTGTTATTTATCATAAAAATGTAAGAATAACATTTCTTTTTAATTAAATTTAACATTACAAATATGTTAATTTAACATAAACTTTATTTCTAGATAAAGTTTAAGTGTTACACTTTTGTGTTAATTTTTAAACATATTATGTGTTATTTATTTACATACTTGCCTTCTATTAAATTAACATTAAAATTAGAGTGGATAAATTGGGACATGTGAAATATGTTAAATTTAACACAAAATTTTTTACTGTGGATGAAAAATAGATTATTTTTTACAGATGAAGCTCATTTTCGACTTAATGAATATATTAGCAAGTAAAATTATCATTAGTTCATGCACAAGCAAATTTTTATCCCCTTTTTATAATATTATTTAAATTAGTAAAATATTATATAGTATTATATATATTAAAGTATTATTTAAATTATTAAAATATTATATATATAAAATATTATATATATTATAGTATTATTTAAATTATTAAAATATTATATATAGCATATAATATTATATAATATTAATATATATTATATTATATATATATACTTTTTTTTTTTTTTTTTTTTTTTTTCATACATATGGCAATAAAATTGACAAGTTTCTTCTACAAAATGACGTTTTATTCATTTTATTTGGCCTACTCATTATGAAGTAATAAACATTTATTTTCAACACATTGCCAATCCTGTACATATAGCATAAGAATTAAAAATAAAGGAGTATTAATAAGTTGTTCTCGATCTTTATCATGTTTGTTTTCGTTTATAAACTTCTTGTAGATAAAAGTTATTTTTATTGAAGAATACTTTTTAAGAATGTTTTAAGTAATAATTGTTAATTTTTATTTTACCTAAACATGTAGCAATCAAAGTGAGGTCGTTTACATATTGCATAATTGATTTTAGTTTGTGTACCTATATAAATAACATTTAAATGGAAAAAGATATGGAATAAACATCTAAATGTTTAAATGGATTTTAGAACAAAATAAATGATTATGTTTGATTTGCTTTCATGAGAATTACCTTAATATTGACACGTTAACACTTCTCTCTCTCTCTTTCTCTTTCTCTCTCTCTCTCTCTCTCTCTCTCTCTCTCTCTCTCTCTCTCTCTCTCTACGAATGTATAAATTATTTATTAAATTTTATCGATTGAATTCTTATGTAACTGTTATATTATTCGAATGACCGAGTTACAAATGTCGATCTTATGTTTTAACATTTATGGAATGCAAATATAAAACAATAGCGACAATAATAGAGTCATTGTTATTGTCATTATTTGTTATTGTCATTATTTGTTATTGTCATTATTTGTTATTGTCATTATTTGTTATTATCATTATTTGTTATTATGTCTATATATTAATAAATTAATAAATATCAATTAATTTAATTTTTTTCATTCTATTTTTGTTTAGATAATTTTAATTAAAAAATGTATCGTAAATGCAGATCTAATTCTTCTGAAGTATTTAAACACTTATATTTAAACACTTTAATATATAAATAAAAACAATTATAAACAAATATAAAATAAAAACAAAATATATAATAAAGTAATAATATAAAAGCACAAATAACATTAAATTGAAGACATGATAAATTATTCGGACATGATAAATTATTTAAGATTAGAAAAATAAGATAATTTAATTTGCGCAAATTGCATAAAATTGATTTTCCTACATATCAAAGTTATTACGATGGCCTGAAAGTTTCAATGAGAATAAAGTTTTCTGCAGGCGAGTTTTAAACTAATTGTGCGACCCATCGAGAGTTTATGGTTTAAATGCATTACCAAATGTGCATTTTACTCCTCGATACACCGCAATTTACTCGAGAGTTTAACACGTTTACATCACGTAGTTCCTAGTACCATAGTTTGACCAATATATTGTATCGTAAGTGCCATGTGCGACCGCACAGGAATTATTAAGTCACGTATAAATTATTACGAGCATATTAGATTATCATGAATTAAAATTATATGTGAATATTTATATTTATTTTATTAATTGGATACATAATAAAATATTCATAATTAACAAAGAGAATTATTTCTCTAAATTTCGTTGTATTATATAATGTATTATATAATGTTAAAATATCGCATTTTATAATAAAAATAAAATGTTATGAATTATTCTCTAAAATTATTTCTCTAAATTTCATTATATTATACTAATATTAATACTTTTTTATAGTTTACTTTTAATTATTACATTATTATATTATTATAAAAAAAAATTTAATGTAAAGATATTATCTTACCATTATATCTTGGCAGAGGATCATTGTCGTGTTCATTTACATCGTAACTAATAGCTGCATCCTAAATTTAAATGTTATAATGATAAAATAAATAAAGCTAAGATAAATATGTACATATAATATAATATCTCTTTTTTTCTTATTTTTTTGTAGAAGCAACTTACTATCTTCTTCGATGTGTAAATTTTAATAATATTATAAGATTCATATAAACTTCTTTAAAATTTATTTTTATAAATCAAATTTTTTATATATTTGTTTATGTAATACATATAATTGCAATGCAATGCAATGTGTATTATATATATTATCATAATATATGTAATATATAGTATAGAATATAATAATAGTAACACAATACCATAAATATGAAAATGGAATAATGCTCTCTAAAATCGAAAACAAATCTTTGAACTACATGGTTCGTCATCTATGCGATAAAAGGAAAACTCGAAGCAAATATTACGTACGTAGTTGCTCCGCAGATCATCATGATTGTATTCCAAACCATCGTCGAGAATAGCAATTCTCACTCCGCGACCAGTTATCCCTAGTCGATAGAGAGGCAGGACGTTTAAGTCGAGCTTCGGCAAAGCCTTTTCGGTCTTCGTACCTTGCTATGGCAATTGATAAAAAAAATTTCAGAATTTTAATAATGTAATGATAACAATAACAATGATGTATCGAAATAATTAATTTTGTTATAATACAAAATAATGTTTTTGAGTTTGATATATTTAAATGTATTGAAATATAATAAATCGAATTTTTGAAATGTTTATGTAAATTTTGCAATGTAAAATATTTTATGCAAATTATAAATTTTATTTTATAAAATTACATATTTTTGATACAATTAAAATTTTTATATTTGCAGTTTATTTTTATCTTAAAAAGATTTCGTTATCATATTCTGCATAATTTAAGAATAGAACATTATTTAGTGAATAATACTATAAGAATAAGAAACGTGCAAAGCATTATTACCAGGTACCATTCTTGATCCCAAAGCTCGTCATTAAATATTCTATGGGCAGCATTGTAATTTTCCTCCTGCCTGTTAACGGCTTTTGATGCAGCTTCGTATGTGTTTAATTGCAGACGCTTTTCTCTCGTTAAAGGTTTTTCAGACTCCGGATCGACTAACGAGATGTAATCGCGTTTAAATCGTTTTACAGTTTTTTGTTGATCCGCCCAAATGATCTTTGCTTGGCAAAATGGGAATTATGTTAAGAAAATTGTATTTTCTTCGTATATTATTTTGTAATATATGACATGCTATTAATTTTCGTACAGAAATATCTATTAATATCATTTTTATAGGTACAGGAATATACATTGTCATTTTTATGCATGCATAAGTGACATTTGAAAAAAAAAATTATAAAAATTAATAATTCTGAAGTTTTGCAGTTAGAACATTATTTAAGATCATAAAATAACGCTCGTGCAAGGTATGAAGGAGTTACCTTGGAATTTGCATTAAGATCCTTCGTTAAGCGAAGATTTCCTCTTTTCTTCTGGCTCGGGTTATCATCCATAAGCCATATATATGTATCATTGAATCCGAGAACCTGAATGAGGAGATCCATTACATGTAAATTTATCAAGAGGACCAGTGATATGCACTGCATATTTAATGAACTTGAGGCCAAATTGAGACTTTATTTAAATTTTTGCTTAAATAAATATTAAAGCACCAGTCTTCCATTCGTTCTATTATCATTTTATAGTTGAGCCTTTTCTCTCAATGTTCATCAGCATAGATTAATATTGAAATATATTTAGTTTATAAAATTATAAATGTGTTTTGTTTTCTATTATAACATTTTATCAACATTTTTTCATAAATTTTAACTTCCTCTCTCTCTCTCTCTCTCTCTCTCTGTCTCTCTCTCTTTCTCTCGACGCGTCCTCCTTTTTATTAATTTATACAAGTTGAGAAAGAGATTTATTTAATGCGATATTATAGATTGATTATCATAGATAGAATATTATGTATGCTAATCTTTACTTATCTTTCTTTTAGCTAATTAAAATAGAAATAAACATTATATGATAGGTAATAATTGAACAAAATCTACTTATTATTTGAATTAAAAACTATTTTAGATAAAAAGCCTATAATAATAAATTAAAATAAATTTTAAAATAATATACAATTGTTACATTCAATTCTTGAATCAATATATTTGAAATGTTCAGAATGTTGCATCTGAAGAATATGTATCTGTTTCATGCACATCGAAGGGTTAAACTACCCTTCATTTACTTAGGATGAGAGTAAAACTAGACGTCCCGACGTTTGCGCCCTTTGAATGAGTAAAAGGGACGCTGCGATCAGGATAGCATACGAAAGCAGTTGGTGAATCGAGCGATTCTCTTTTAGGGGGAACTATCGAAAGTCTAAATGGGGTATCGCACGTGTGTAACGTTATTATTATCCATGGCACGTGGCCTTCGTTTTTGTATAGCATCCGTACGCGAGGTGACGTATCGCATGGCGCAAGCAATATGACAGAGATAGTGCAAGGGAGAATATAAGAGAGGGGGAGACCACCTGGTAGGAAACTGGGCGTCATTCGTGCAAGGGGACAAACTATATTTTCGTAACATCAGACACATACTGCCTATTTCATGATACTTCCTGTGACTGGCTCTCCTGATAATTGTCGGTGCATTATTGTTTCTTTTCTGCAACGAGAGACTTTATTAATATATACTTATATATATATATATATATATATATATATATATATATATATATACAAATTAATTTTCATAATTAATTTATTGGAGAGAAGTTAAGATTTTAAATATCATAATTTTATACATGAAATTTATAAAATGTATGTTATACATTTGCAATATAAATACAATTGTGCTTAGTTTACTATTTGTAATTTTTTATTTTAAATAATTTTTGTGTAACGCATATTCCATTATTTTTATAATATTATTTATTATAATCCAATTTAATATTGAGCTTGTGTTTTACATTTTTCTGAAACATTCCAATATATTTATTATTATTAGAATTTTTGTGGCGACGAAAGATCGTCAAATTATTTCGGCCAACATTTTAAATCGTTTAATGCATATATATATATTTTAATTGCTAATATAAAATAATAATTTTTTTATTTTACTTTTTCTGAACTAGATAACATCAAACGCGACCGACATCCACGGCAGAATTCAAAGAAATATTCAGGTCATTGGGATTATAAAACAATAATCGTTTTGTCTGCTATCCTCTTAACCCCATACAACCGTGAGCAAAAATCCTTTAATCCACTATCTATTATATCTGTTGTGCATTCGGTTAGAAGGAATAAATTTGATCGTCAAAATGCTTCGCTGAACGCGCTGATAAACTAGTGAATATCCGGCGGGATACACTTTTCAATACAGCGGCGCATAAATGTTGCACGTTTGCGTATCCGTGATCACGTATGCCATGCACGCTGCGTTAAGCATTTAGGATTCTACATCACGATCCATGGATTGATGGAAAACGTTTCTACTTTTGCAAACTAGGTCTACAAACGTATAGGAATTTGTTATTATGTACAAGTAAATAAAATCATTTGTTGGATCTGATGATTTTTTTTGTCAAGTAATTAATTAGAAAAAGAAAATGAATAAAATATATTGCAATATATAAAATTGCATTAATAATAATAATAATAATATAGTATTAATAAGAATATTAATACTTTTATATAATAAGCTTTATCATCACAAGCAATTTAGCTTTATGCAACAAGCAATTTATGTTAATTGTGATATTTTTTAATTCCTTTTTCATAATCAATTTGTTCAACTTCGAGTTCATCAAAAAAATCGATTTGTATGTTTTCAATTTGGCTGATTGTCAATGATTTCAGAGATAAAGTAAAGTAACTTCATGGAAGATATATATATGTATGTGTTCTAAGTGGATTTTGAGATAAAAATTTTTATTTTTAAAACAAATAATTAAATTTCAAAGTAACTTCAACTTTGTAGATACGTGAAGAGGATTGAAATCTTACGGTTTAATGTAATTTTCGCAAACTTTTTTACTAAGATTTTCAAAAAAAAAGAAAGATTTTTAAGTGACACGCTTATGCGAACGCATTTTCAACTCCTTAACAAGTGACAACATCAAGGTCGATGCTTTTAACGCAAACTAGTGCTCGACGGATAGAGCACGTGCTTTTTAAGTGTCGCGGGTGCTTCTCTTAAATTGCATGTGAAAACGTTTCAAACTCGAATTCGTCGACTACGTGATAATGGTTCTCTTCCCCTTCGGTCGTAATCGGTAAGCACAGTGGTCCAAAAGATGCATACTGGAAGGATTGCACGAACGTGTACGTGAGAGAAGCATGAAGAGAAAATCGGAGACCGTCATTACTTTGTAATCAGCGAACGACAGAGCGAATATTACACTTATTGCCAAGTATTACCATGATATTAATCGCAATATTAATCTGACGTACGTGAAATGCAGTAATGTTAAGGAATATGTATACAAATTTTTATGTGACTTTTTTATATCAAGTAATTCAATATCTCGTCCATTTTTGTATGTTTTCATTTATAGAGAATATAATAATTAAAATATGTAAGATATATTTCAAGAATTGTATACGAAATAAATATATGTGTTGTATTCATTTTTAATAAATTTAAAGAGTTGTAATTATCATAAGGAATAAAAAGAACTTTCTAAAATTTAAAAAGAATCGCGTTAATCAATTTTAATCAATTTTAAAAGATGCAAATAAATAATCGATATTTTTTTATATATTTTGAAGTGAGTTTTATTAATAAAATTTTAATTTAAATTTAATAAAAATTTTATATATTGATATCTCGATATTGATATGATATTTGTTATATGTATCGATTCTCATCGATATTTTTAAAAAATGATTGTCTCTGAATTTTACAAGAAAAAATTTTATGTTTTTTATTTGAATAAGTCAATGCTATATATATATATATTATTGTTTAAAATCAATTTTTATACTAATATATTATATTTTATATATACTATATTTTATACTTTAATATATTAATTATATTAGTTTATATAAATATGATTCACACTTGTTTAAATTAAATTTTCAATTTTGCACCATTGCATTATCGCATCCTGTTATCACTCGGCTATTCGGCGAATAGTAAAGTTTCGCTCAATTGCATCTTGCCCGACTTCCTCGCCATTTAACGATTTCTCGATACGGACTCTCGGAAAAGGATTATGCTATCCTTGCCGTTCTGAACATTTCCTATCCAATCGTCTTAAATTCGCGCCGAGACATTTCGTAGCTCGAGCATCATCATCATCAACCGTAATATTTTCCGCGAATGTACGACTATGCAAAACGTCTTTGCGTAAAAGAAAGGACAGATAGAGATGAGAAATTAGAGCCGGTCATTATTTCACGATCAACGGGTGATCCGTTTTATCGGTATTCAGATTGCGTCTTCGACTGCTTCGCTTTCGAAGGGACGACACGCCTTGTGTTCAGTATAGATACAGGAAAATCTGCGGCAGGTCGCTTGTAACCCCCTCCGGGTGAATGGCAAGCGTGGGTGAAGATGAGAGAAGTATATAGAGAGAGAGAGGGGGGGGAGAGAAGGAGAGAAAGAAAGAGAGAGAGAGAGAGAGAGAGAGAGAGAGAGAGAGAGAGAGGCGAAATATTTTCGCAGTCCATTTGTTTTGATCGGATTTCCAACTGTCTCTCGTAATCCCGCACCCGTAAGCTCCCGCAGGCGTCGTCAGTTTCCAATGAAAACCCTAATGTCTCTATCCTCTTCTCCCCTTCATCTGGCAGTGCCCACTATGCAACTCTTGTCGATGTTTCCCGAGCACACCTTCGTTCTCGTCTCTTGGATTCCTGCGAGTATTCTCTACGTTCTCCATACATTCTATGCACGTAAGTGTGTGTACGCATTGTGTGTTATGTGCACTTGTACGCAATGTCTTGTCTACCGCGTATTCGTTTTAAAATTGTACAAACCGTTTCAACGATTTCTATGAATCACATTGAAATTCGTATTTTCTTAACAGAAATATATATTCAAATACAAATTATTAAAATAAAGAATTTTTTAAAATTGCAATTAATTTATATTTATATAAAGTGAAAAAATATATATATCAATTGCCAAAACTTTATTTTACATTTTATTTTGAGTCTAATCTAAGAAATTAATATTTGAAAATTATCATCTCTTTTATTTGTGATAGAATCTTTAGATAAAAAATAACTTCTTAGAACAGTTTATACGTAAAATCAAATTTATTTTATAAAAATGTAAGTATTCCTGATATCGAGATCAATATCAGTAATTCTTGAATTATAAGATTTCAAGAATTAAACAAAGAAATACAGATATAAATAACAAAACATTTTTTCTTTTTTATTATATTATAAATTATAAATAAATTATATTTATAGAGAGAATTTTAAGATTACTTGTCAAGATGTTTAATAGCGAAAATTCAGAAGTTCCGAAAAAAGGTGCGTTCAATCAAAGTTTGTCTAATGAAAAATCGATTACAAGTTTGCTAAAATAT